ATCCCCTCGGGTTGCCACCTCCATAGAAACGATGACCCAGAGTGGCTTGACCTTTATTGTCATGTTTTCTCCTGGATCATGTTCTTCTTTGAAGTCTTTTAAAAGGGGGCGGTGACCCAGAACCCGACCTAACACATGTCCGTTTCGTACAAGTGGCATAACAACTTTTATTCTTTTCTTTGTGTGGCCCTATTCTCCCTTTATACAATATTATCTCGCTATAGGAAGGTACTTGAAAATCTCTTGAGTTTTTTTTTATAGTTTCGGACGGACATGAGACCCGTGATTTTTTTTTGAATTGGAATAAAAAAGGGATTTATGTGATTTATTATATGTTTTCATATTTTTTTTGTGATTCGCACGATTTTGTTTATAAACGTTATTTTTATTACTTTTTAATTATAAGCAATCATAGGAGGTAGTGGATTGGAGAAATATGATTTTAAGTCCCCAAGACATTTTTAAAGATAAAATTGAATTTATGACAAATAATAGAAAGAAATTGTTGGTACTCTTTTGATTTTTTAAAATCTTAACGTTTGGCAATTTCTCCCATACAATACCATTAGGACAATAAATTGCGACCGTGGACCTGTCTTTAGAATACATTTACATTATTTTTTTTTTAAAATTGACAACACATAACAGTTTTGTTTTCTCAATAAAGTTTTTATTATTATTATTATTTATCATAATATAATCCCCACTAATTTTTTAAAATATAGACCTTTAACACCTTTTAATATTTTATTTTAGTTACATTTAGAGAATTTCGTTTCAACACTGATTTATTTTAGTTTAAACTATTAATTTTAAATTCACAACGCAAGTATTGTACGATATTTGAAAATAGATTATTAATATCTTTTAATAATATTTTTTTTTATCTTGGTCACATTTTGAGAATACTATTTCGACACTGGCTTATTTTATTCCCGTTTTTTAAAAATATTTGTACGCTATACAATGGTCTTGATGTAAATATAATTAATTTCAGTATAACTCATGTAAATATAATTAAATTAAATATTTATAATTTATTTAAATATAACTAATGTAAATATAATTAATTTAAATATAACGGATGTAAATATAATAATTTAAATATAACGGATGTAAATATAATTAATTTAAATATAACGGATGTAAATATAATTAATTTAAATATAACGGATGTAAATATAATTAATTTAAATATAACGGGTGTAAATATAATTAATTAATTTAAATATAACGGATGTAAATATAATTAATCAATTTAAATATAACTGATGTAAATATAATTAATTAATTTAAATATAACTGATGTAAATATAATTAATCAATTTAAATATAACTGATGTAAATATAATTAATTAATTTAAATATAACTGATGTAAATATAATTAATTAATTTAAATATAACTGATGTAAATATAATTAATAAATTTAAATATAACTGATGTAAATATAATTAATTTCATATAACTAAACACTTTTTCCAAAACAGTTCTTATCTTCAAGAAATTGTATCTAAATCAATTATTCAAATATTCACAGAATTGCCTATCCAGTCTTTATTATTATATGCGCAATGTATATTCAAATCATTGTGTTAAATTCATTAAATAATTTTAGCCTTCTCTAATAAATCTAAAATGGCAACTATTCAACGTTAGATTTTCCAAAAGATTTTCATTTCTATGATAATTCTTTCTCGGATTTTAAAGCCAACCATTTCTCTGCACAAATCGGCATTTAAGTTAAATACGTAATATTATTTGGCTTATGGCTGGTTGTGCCTTTAATGGGCGTTTTCTCGTGATCGCGTGGGGGGGGGGGGGCGTACCAGGTGATACCTTTGGTCTACCGCAGTAGAAGTATTTTGATGGAGTTTGTGGTTTTCTCATAAGGGTGGCAAGCTCAAGGACCTACCCGGGCGACATAAATATCTACGCCAATGGTCGGGGTGGATAGAGTTCGAATCAGGCTTTGCCCCCATCTTATCTTTAATTACACCCCCTCCCACCTCCACTAAGGTTAGTTATCCTGCATTGATAAACATTCATTTTAATCTAAACATATTCAGTCTATTGTTTTTAATTAAAATTAATTCAATTATTAAAATTCATTCAAAAATCAATTCAATTATTAAAATTCATTCAAAAATCAATTCAATTATTAAATTTCATTCATTTATTACAATTAATTTAATCATTAAAATCATTTATTTTTAAGATTTATTTTATCACATCTTTAACTATTCTATGCAGCATATTTTAAAATAAAAAATAAAAGTTCGAAAACATGCAAGAAACATGAAATGAAATGAAATGGGGTTAAATGTTCAACTGCTCTGCTCCAACTGGGTTAATGAAGACGGGCATACGCGCTATGATTGGAATTTTGCCCGGGCAGTGGCACTATGGCCTACTCTTACACCGAATTCCTACTGCCAAGGGATCTTTAACGTGCACGCCAATGTGTCCCATCCGAACGACTATACGTTGTCCCTTGCAAGGCTATCCGTCCTACACCACTGCCATGACAAGGAGGAACCACGCAGGAAAATTCCGATGAACTTTCTCGGCCAACGCAGGGATTGAGATTAATGAACCAATATTCTACTCATTGAGCTACCGTGGCCTATGAAATAACTCAAATTGCTAATCGTTTGGTCGACCTGGGTTGACCTTCAATCTAGAGGAATTTGTTTGAAGTCTCGTGTTAACATCACGTAACTTATTAAAGGGGTATCACGTGTGGTTTAATGGTCGAGAGCGAGACATTAAGTAATGTATTGAAACAACAAGAGGGACGTAGTCACGAGCTGTTGTTTCAACGTCACCCGGGTCCAATATTTTAACTAGTTACACTTGGCACATTACCCATACCATTATTTAAAATAATGATACGCCAACATCAAAGGATGACGTCATATCTGTATTTTAATTGAGATTATAAATCTCGCTATAATAGTCACAACAGATAAATTGCTCCACTCTGAATCGAGATATTAGCTTTTGAATTTTAGGCTAGCCTCGATCATCATTACTAAAGCCAGTACAAAAAAACAGTCCCGATTATCCACTTTTACTTTTAATTATTTTTCAAAAAATGTATTCTAATCCGCTAAATATCACAGGCTGGCGATGACATCGAGAGCTGATTGTAGTCTGGATAAGTTAATTTATGTCTAATTAATAATTTATATAAAATTAAATCCCGTTTCTCTCTGCACCCCCACCCTCTTTTTTTTTTAAAATGTAAAAAAAAACAAATACAAACCAAATCACTGGAAAATTTAACATCCGTTTTAATTGACTCGATATATGTTTGTGTAGAGTACTGGACAAGTTAACTTTCGTTAATTTGTAATTTTAATATTATCACAGCGGATTTTAAAAGTGTACACATTGGCGTGCAGGTAAATGAAATGGAATGAAATGGGGTTTAACGTCCTACTGTTCTGCTCCTAAACTGGGCTAATGAAGACGGGCATACACAATACAGTGTGCTATGAGTGAAATTTCGCCCGGACAGCGGCACTTCGGCCTGCTCTTATATCGAATTCCAATTGTCAAGGGATCTTTTACGTGCACGCCCATGTTTACACGGAATCTCGTTTTTTTTGTACCATCCGAACAACTAGACAGCTGTCCTTGTCAGGCCCTCCGTCCTGCATCACTGACAAGGGGGAACCATGCCGGAAAGTCTGGATGAACTTTCTCGGCCAATGCAGGGATCAAAGACCCGACCTCCAGGCTAGCGAGCCAGCGTCTTACCCACTTAGCCACCGAGACCCCCCGCAGGTAAAAGAACCCTTCACAGTTGGAATTCGAAATAAGAGTAGACAGTAGCCACTGTCTGGGCAAAATTTCCCTTATAGCACACTGTATCGTTAAGTACGTCGTTAAACACCGTCTCATTCATTCTTATTTCTACCAACATAGCCCTGGAGAACAAATTAAAAACGTCCAACTTCGGCCGTATTATGAATATAATGTTCTACACGTTCTTGTTAAGTTCTTGTAATACTCTCAACTTCGTGGGTTTTCTCCGGTTTCCTCCCACTGCTAAAGACCCCTACGCTCAAGCGAATTATTGAAATAAAATTGAACCATGTTAGACCCGAAATGACCTGGTTTGTGTCGAGTTGACGTTAAACCCCATTTCTCTCTGTTTAATAATACGAGACCATGGTCGTCACCTTATCAAGGGGAGGTAATCCAGTAGGATAAGGATTCAGACCAGTAATTCGTTCCCGTTTGACGTCAATGTTATTTCCATGCCCCTCTAGCATTTGAATCACAACCACAAACAGCCGAACAGGTCACAAACATCTGATAAAAATATTAAAGGGGGTGGACCATCTCTGCTGTGATGTAATTTTCATAATTCCCTCCAGATTCTTCTTGTACCAAATCATGAATATTCACCCAAACATGTCAGAAAAGTTAAATTCAAACATTCCTCTTCGATTCTAGAGAAAAAATTCAACAAAACACACCATGCAAAAAGGGGAAGGGAGGGGCGGATTACTTGTCTAAATCTGCCTCTCCAGTAGCCTTTGGGAAACACGGTGGCTCTAACAGTAGGAGGTTGGCTGGCTAACTTGTAGGTCGCTTTTGATCCCTATGTGGGCCAAGAAAGTTCAAGATTTTCCGGCGTGATTCCACCCTTGTCAGTGGTGTAGGACGGAGGACAAAGCAAGGGCCAACGCATATTCATTTGGATGGGACGAAAAACTGCGGTTCCATGTATACATTGGTGTGCACGTAAAAGAACCCTTGACAATTGTAATTCGATGTAAGAATAGGCCGTAGCGCCACTGTCCGAGCAAAATTTCTCCCTCATAGCACAATGTATGGTGTAAGCCTGTCTTCATTAGCCCAGTCGGAGAAGAACAGTGGGACGTGAAACCCCATTTCATTTCATTTCCAGAAGCCTTGTTGTGGGTGTAGTTAATGCATAATGAAAATCCCCACATCTGATCACAAAAAAAAAAACAAACACTGATATCTTTTACAAATATATTATTTACTGAGTATAATGTTCGTTGCACCAATTCCATTTCTAGCTTACTATAAATACAACAAATTATTGTCTTACTTGTGACAAAAAAGTGTTAATGTATAGTTGACATTTATATATATTTAAAGCGGGCTATATATTTATTCATATTAACTAAGCTCACCCATTACCTAACAAAAACAACATCCTTTAACAAACACCACAATTAAAATAAAGATGCATATGTAAGATTTATGTAAGCCAAAATAAAGACCTGCAGATATAGATAGCTCTTACATAATGCATCTTCAAAACTATCAGAAATATACCACAATTAAAGATGCATTATGTATGTAAGATTTAGATAAAAGAGTTGGTTAGATTTAGCTCTTAAATAATGCATTTTTAAACTAACAGAAACACCTCCCAAGAAATTAAATATGCATTATGTAAGATTTATTGAAGCCAAAATAAAAACGTGCAATATGCAGATTTAGTTCTTACATAATGCATCTTTAAACTAACAGAAATACACCACAATTAAATTAATATCAAAGTATACATCTTTTCTAGAATTAAAGGTTTGAAAGAGTCATTCACCTTGAATTCTCCAGTTTTATTCACTGAAATACACCTGGGAATGCCCCTTTAATAAGTAATATTATAACTTGTGAAATACCAGAGTCATTCGGCCTGAAATTATCACTTTAATACACCAGGGAATGTCCTTTTAACAGGTTGTATAATAAATCTGGTGATAAAATCAATACAGGTAATAACATTGTACTGGTGTAAATCATTGTACAGGTGTAAATCATTATACATGTATACTGTATTATTTATAGCAGATTCTGTTCAGGTGTTAAAACTCTGCCCACATTAAATGGCAAATAATCAGAAACATTGATATCGAAAAACGCAACAAAAATTTGAAATATAATACCAGAGATTCTTATTCCATTGTTTTATCTGTAATTTAATTACTCATTCTTTATAAAGCAATCAGATTAAAATACAGATCTATATTTCGTTTTTTTATACACTACATGAAGATATGACCAGTTGTACTGGGAGGTTGCATCAGGGGTCATACGAGCGGCTTTTGACCCTTTGAAGTCAGACATTGATTAATCAATCAGTGTTAACGTTTCTAGGGGTTTACCCACAGTTCTGTGCATGCAGAGCATGTCAAGAACTTGCCGCAACAGACCCTTTCAATGGCTAATTCCTGACATCAACTAGAACGCTTGTTATTTAACAACTTTTCCAGATCCTAGTGTAGTAAAGAGAAGTAAAACGAAAATTAAACCAAATTAGATCTGTGTTTTAATCAGATTGAAATATTGGTACACCAATATCATTGGATAACGTCATTTTTAAATGTACATCTATATATGTTTCCAAGATCTGACAAAGTGCACTTAATAAATTAAGACAGTGTACTTCAAATTGTGAAAATAAAATCTGACAAAGATGAAAATCAGGTTTATCAAATCATAAAAAAATTAATTGTAAAAAAAAATAAACCCGAGTGAAATAAAATACTGATAAGTATATATTTAAGTCCTGTACCTATATAACACACCACATTAATTAATATAAGTATATATTTACCTGTACCAATATATATAACACACCAATTTAATTAATATAAAATATAATATATATATATATATATAAGGCCACAGTTAGATAATACTGACAATATGGTTAAAGTACAGATCTATATTTCGTTTCATTTTTTATACTTTCGATGGCCTACACTACACGAGGATCTGACCGATTGTAGTGGAAGATCGCGTCAGAGATCATTCGAGCGGCTTTTGACCCTATGACGTCAGACATTTGGTTAATCAATCAGCATTGACATTTCTAGTGGGTTACCCACAGTTCCATGCATCTCATGCCAAAAATTCACCGTAATAGACTGTTTCATTGGCTAATCTCTCACATCATCCAGAACACAGGCTATATAACAACTCTTCTAGATCCTAGTGTAGTAAACACAAGTAAAACGAAATTTTGAACTATAAAAAACGAAATGAAATAGGATCTGTGTTTTAATCAGATTGAAAATACTGACTAGGATATTTTATAATATTTATCTTTTAGTGTGATTTAATGGTCGAGACATTAAGTTATATATTGATACTACACGAGGACATTAGTCCGAGTGTTGATTCAATATATTACAAAAATGTCTTGCCTGGGACCAATAAACAACCTAAAATACAGACACTATATCTCACACATGCATAATTTGTATAAAATCGTCATATAGTATAATATAATGTATGTTTGGCACGTTGTTACCTGTACCCTTATTTGAATTAAAGTTACGCAATGAATATAGGAGTACATCATATTAGTATTTTAGTGAGAGAGAGATCGGGTTTAAGTCCACTCGACACAAACTAGGTCATTTTGGGACTATAAATGGTTCAATTTTATTTCAATAATTTGCTTGTGCGTAGAGGTTTTTAGCAATGGGAGGAAACCGCAGAAAACCATCAAGGTTGGACAGGCAACCATACTCCTTGTCACGTACAACTGGGGAATCTTTAAGTTAGCACTATTTTAAAAATCAATATATTGTAATCCTCAATATGAAATCGGTGTACTGATATATTTTCAATTTTCTATATCCATTAACAATATCATGAATTAATTACTTACACATCCATATAGAATTTAACACCCTTACTGGCTGACCTAGATTACAAATATAACCAAGTTCTAATTTACTAAAGTTCGGGCAAAATGAAATATTATAATAGATCATACTAACGAATTGACCTATATTGAGTACAGAAAAAAAATATATAATTAATTTGCTTGAGTTGGGGCCATTATAAAATCAATATATTACAATATATGATTCTCTGTAGACTGTATTGATATTATCACTCTACTTTCATTTTATTCACAGAATTTAACCCAGAGTGAGATTGGCCTAAATATTCGACAGAAAAAATATCTAATTATGCATTATGCAAGAGCTAAATCTGTCTATTGTAGGTCTTCCTTTATTTAGGCCTGAAATGTTATATAAACTATTAATTAGACATTCATTAACATGAAAAGACCATAATCATCCCTTGATGCCATCTTATGTGTCGGATTTTCACTGGATTTGAATCTGATTTGTTGTGCAACCCTCAATGACAATTTAATTAGACATTCATTAACATGAAAAGACTAATCAACTCTCCATGCCATCTGATGTGTCTGATTTTAAGTGGATTTGAATCCGATTTGATACATCATTGATGATTTATACCAAAAATGGATAATCGAGACTATGTTTTTTTATCATACGACTTTAGTAATGATGATCGAGACTATGTCTAAAATTCAAACGCTAATATCTCGGTTCAGAGTGGAGCAATTTGACTGAAATTGTCAGCATATCCCCTTTTACATTATCTAGTTTTTAACTATTATAGTGAGAACTGCCAGCTCTTTATCTATTCCCCCATAATGTATCTTTAAGATAAACCAGATTCTAGTTAAGAACACAAACGGATTGCTCACATTGAAACACAAAACATTCCTCCATGACCTTCATTAATTATTCATATTTAAAATACAGATGTGACGTCACCCTTTGATGTTGGCGTACCATTATTTCAAATAATCGTACGGGCAAATTGCCAATCGTACATTATTTATACTAGTGAAATATTGGACTCGTGTGACGTATTTCACTATTTTAAGTCGTTTAATGGTCTCGAGCTTCAGACATTGCGTAATATATTGTAAAAACACTCGGACCTATGTCCCTATTGTTGCTACAATATATAACTTAATGTCTCGCTCTCGACCATTTAACAATATATATCATACATAATTTCATTCTTATAGCTGCCATGAAATATTTTCATCAAGCAAGAAATAGCCATCTGTGTAATAACTGTATCAATTTATGAGATAGGATGAGCAGGTAAAATCTTCCCTGTACAGGATCCAAATCCTACTTTATATCCTTCTCCTTGACAATATCCTGAAATTATAAACAGGTGATAATAAAATACTGAGAGAGAGAAATTGGAGAAAGAGTTTGGGAGAGAGAGAAAGGGGAAGAGAAAGTGAGAGAGAGAGAGAGAAGGAGAAAGATAGGTGAGAGGTGTGTGGGTGGGGAGAGTGAGTGGGGGGAGGAGGATTTAACCACTCCATACAATCTCCAGAGAGAGAGAGAGAGAGAGAGAGAGAGAGGGAGGTTAACATCCACTCCAGACACAAACTAAGTAATATCAGGAAAAAACATGGTATTATGTTATTTCAATAATTCACTTGCGTGTGGGGATCTTTAGCAGTGGGAGGAAACCAGGGGACAGTCACAAACCCACAAGGTTGGACAGGCGACCCTACTACTTGTCATGTACAATCAAAACTATGCAACTTGTTTCAAAGACAGACCATGTGATCTAACGAACACATATTATACCAATAGTCTGGAGGCTCATCAAATGGGCACAAAACCAGACCCAACCTTTCTATAGTCAAATTTTGCGTAGAATACAATGCCGATTGGTAATCAGAGCGCTGTTGGGGCGTTTTCGAGATATTCGGGGTCAAAGGTCAAATGAGGTCATTTGCACTGAAAGTGAATGTGCAGTCATTCTTATATCATGAAAATGATCGACAGTAATCACACTTTCAATACCACTCGGCATCGTATTCTACGCAAAATTTTACTATAGAAAAGTTGGGTCTGGTTTTGTGCCCATTTGATGCCCCCCTCACCCGCACACACAGAGCATACTGTCTACAAACCCCCTTCATTGAGAAGGAACTTTGGTGACCGAATAGTTTAAAGGGATATTCCACAACTTGGGTGGGGGAGGGGGGCTACATAGGTTAAAAAGGGCCCATGTAAAAAGTCGGCCAAGTAAAATTCATTATGAACTTGCCAGTATGATGACAATAAATTTTATGACATGGGATGATGTATGTGTTTAATCATTAATCAAAATGGCTCTTGAGCTAGATCACCCAAGAGAGAGAGAGAGAGAGAGAGAGAGAGAGAGAGAGAGAGAGTTTAACTCCACTGGACACAAACTAGGTTATTTTGGGACTAACACATGGGAATCGAAACCATGTCAGTTGACTCACTGACGGATCTTATGATACAGCCCGCATGCGCGAACCATTTGGCCATCCAACCCCCCCCCCACCCATGTAAGGGTTCTTCACAGATTTGATGTCACATGATTCCAGTTACACATTACAATGTCACATGATTCCAGTCGCACATTTCAATTTATGAAATACCAAATCTCACCTGTTAGAATTACTTCATCACCATCTTGAAGGAATTTCCTCGTAACACCATTACCCAAATCTATAGGTTTCGTACCTTTCCAACACAGCTCTAATAAACTACCGAATTCATTCTCCTTCTAAAAAATACAAGATGAAATAAAATAAAATGAGTGGCACTACAGTCTACTCTTATTTGACTTCCAGGGAGGTCTATCTTACGTGCACACCAATGTGTGTACACAGGACTTCAGTTTAACGTCAAATCCTAACGACAACATGAAATGAAATGGTGTTTAAAGTCCTACTATTCTGCTCTGACTGGGCTAATGAATTTAAAGAATTTGTGGGAAAAGGGAGGTAATCAAGCTCTAGCTGTATGCTAGAGAACAGGCTTGTAATTGTATCTAGAGGGAAATACGGTTTAACACCTACTCAAAACAAACTAGGTTACTTCCGGGACGTAACATATGGTACACTTAGGGGGTCTTTAGCAGTAGACAGGTGACTTTAATTCTTGCCATACACAAGTGTGGGATTAAAAACATGTAACTAGACTCCCTGACAGACCATATGATCTACAGCGCATGCCTTAGACCACTCGCCCCCCCCCCCCATTGTTTATATAAGTATAATAAGTTTATCTTACCTCCCCACTGATAGTACCAGAAGCCATGAGATCACCTGGATTTATATTACAACCTGTTACTGTATGATGGGCTAACTGTTGTTTCATTGTCCAATACATATACTACAATATAAAATAAATACAAAATCAATAAATAAATAAATAAATAAATTAAATAAAAAATCAAATAAAAAATTAAATAAAAAATTAAATAAAAAATTAAATTAAATACAAAATGAAATTAAATAAAAAATAAAATGAAATTAAATAAAAAATAAAATTAAATTAAATAAAAATGAAATGAAATGAAATGAAATGAAATGAAATGAAAAAAAAAAAAAAAAAAAAAAAAAAAAAATGAAAAAAAAAAAAAAATAAAATGAAATAAATAAATGAATGAATGAATAAACTGTGTAAGAAATAACTTACTTTAAAGTTACTTCTAGATACTGTTACTGGTTCTTTTAGATCATGACCTGAAAAATATTACAATAATCATTAGTTATTGTTTGTGTACATAACAATAATCATTACTTATTGTTAATGTATATTACAATATTCATTACTTATTGTTAGTGTATATTACAATTATCATTAGTTATTTTTTCCCCCATGTATAACAATAATCATTACTGATTTTTAATGTATAACAATAATCATTACTTTTGTTGTCAGGATGTTGAACAGCTTTTACATGAATACACCATGAGTGTGCTATGGGAGAAATTCTGCATTGACAATGGCACTACAGCCTAATCTTAAATCAACTTCCAACTATTAAGACTTCTTTTACATGCATGCCAATGTGTACAAGGGACATCGGTTTCTTGGCAAGGAGGGGGTTGGGTGACCGAATAAGGTCCGTCATTGAGTCAACTGGCATGGTTTCGATTCCCTGCTTGTAAGTGACAAGAAGTAGGTTCGCATGTCCAACCTCATGGGTTTTCTCAGGGGTCTTCGGTTTCCTCCCACTGGCAAAGACCCCTATGCGCAAGCAAATTATTGAAATAATATTGAACCATGTTAGTTCCGAAATGAAATAGTTTGTGTCAAGTGGCGTTAAACCCCATTTCTCACTCTCTCGGCAAGGCCCTATTTCTTTCACCATGGACAAGGGGGGAACTTACTTGACCAGAACCGGGATCAAACCCTAGCTTGACCTACCAGTAAGTGAGCCAGTGCCTTACACACTGAGCCACAGTGGCTCTAAGCGCCAAAGAACACATATTTAATACTTGCACCAAGGAAACTTTCTCGACCATGACCGGGATCAAACCCTTAAAGGGACTATCCTGATTTGAACAGAGTCTCAGAAATAAAAGTCTGAGTACGTATGAAATTTAAACGCCAAAATATAGAGGAATGATGTATTTACCTGGTCTCAAAATTTTAGATCAAAATACTGAGTCGTTTGGACGTGAACATCAAAACTGCTTATCCAGGCACGTAACCCTTTTAAGATTTCGGGTCATTTGTTTTGATGGGTGACCTGATAATCGATTCCCGTTCCTTTTGAGGTTTATACAGTGAATGACCCATGTGCTATACTTGATAACGAAAGGTATATTTCACCGACACATTATTTTTATAAAGTAAAAGTCTGGTTTTATCCAGACACCGCATAATACAGCTTGGGACACCGGTCTCCATTTCCAGATGGAGACTGACAGGTTTAAGTTGTTTGAAAACGTATCACATACTTTGAGTTAGTTGCTCGGACCTAGTGTAGAGGATTTTACGGGATTTTAACACAAAATTAAGCAGTTTTATTCTCCAAAATATTACCGGTATTGGCCCTATAACCTACTAATTAGTGAGCCAGTGTCTTACACACTACGCCAAACGAACACATATTGAATACTTACATTGTAGAGCAATATCCAATTTAATATCAAAACTATACTGATCATCATGTCGTAAATAAGGCAATGGTGTTGGTTCCTGTCAAATTAAAATAACATTATAGACAATCTCATGTAGGCTAAGTCTTTTAATAAATTTAATATCCAGTTCCATTTCCACCCCATCCAGGGGCATGTCATCTTCAATAGAAGGCTTGATCTCGCTTTAACTACGTACATCTTATCAAGGCCTTCACATAATACCCTGCATATTTCGGCAATAACTTCATGATCGTCGTGATTACCAAGTCTCGCGCTTTCAGGCTAAAATGTCTACATGTGATAATCGAGATGCAATGTTAAAGGTTCGTTCAATGCGTGAGGAACAAGATCCCATCCAGGCCCCCCAAAAAACAATATTTAAATGTGTGTGCTGGGGAGGGGGTTGGTGGTAGTCCCTCCCAGTGCCACTGAGTAATATTGGGCTGTGTGGAACATGCTAGAGTCGATTTGTAGCATATCCGACCCATGGTATATGTTTGACACTGGTTGAGCATAATGATTATAATGTTGAAAACTGCATTAAAATCGCATGATTTTTTGCCATTTCCGAGAAGCACAAAATCTCAAAACCATGATGTAAAGCGCTTCATTGCATCACTCTCTTAGCCCCAGACTCCACCCTACTTATATATTTAAAATGATCAACAACTGATATTTTTTGGAAAAATTAGATATCAAATAAAATCAATTTATTGATGTTATTATAAATAAAACTATTACCAATTCAGAGATTTTCATTTAAAGAACCAGCGGTTAAACATATATTCCAAGTTTCATCTAAATCGGATAAAAATTGTGACCTCTAGAGTGTCCACGAGCCAAATCAGGGGCCATAATCCATGAAGTTTTAATCGATACTTGCCAAGGTCTTTGAAGATAAACCTATATTGCAAGTTTCCTCAAAATTGTGACCTTTAGAGTGTCCACAAACAAACTGTGGACGGACGGATGGACAGGGGCGACGACAATATACGCCACATGAAAATGTGGACGTATAAAAACAAATGTGATGTGTAAAAACAAACCTGTTTTGCATTTGGTACTTTAAATGGTGCCAGTGCATCCATAGTAACCACCCATGGTGATATACTGGTTCCTAAATTTTTACCTAAAAATGGTCCCAAGGGAACATATTCCCATTTCTGTATATCCCGAGCTGAAACCAATCAAAAATGGAAGTAATTTTTTAAAAAAAGAAGAAATGAATGGGATGAAATGGGGTTTCATGTCTTAAAGGACTGTTGTATTTATTTCAATGACTTACGTTTCTGGACCACTCTTGCAAAAGAAGAATGGCGGCCCATTTAACTATGGTGGACATTGTACGGGATGGATACAATATGCCAGATTATACAGCATTACAGAATTCTCAATTGCCTCAATACTGGAAGTATTATTGTACATTCGAATACCGGAAGTATTGTTATAATGCACCCTCGAAAAACCAGAATTTAAAATATGATAATGCATTCTGTATATTCTATACGATCACACATTATTATATTATAATGATAGTGATTCTTCGTCGCTGCAATTTTTATATAATGTTGCTGTTTTTGACTTGAGAAACTCAAATCAAATACCAAGCGCTCTCTTACAAGAGATTATAAAATTATCAAGGTAATCAACAAAGGTCAACACATGTTTTATGCCCATAGATAATTGATTGGTGATTGCTTATCGGTTAACACCCACTGATTGAAGGCTTGATTATCCAATGTTAATTCAACGCAAATCGTGTGACCGGGCCGCTGACTGATGTCGTAATTCATAATATTCAGAATACTCATAACTTTCTTGGTTGAAGTAATAAGGAAAGAAATGAAATGAAATCAAATGGGGTTTAACGTCCTGTTTTGCTCCTAAACTGGGCTAATGAAGACGGGCATATGCCATACAGTGTGCTATGAGGGAAATTTTGCCCGGGCAGCGGCGCTACGGCCTACTCATTGAATTCCAACTGCCAAGGGATCTTTTACGTGCACGCCAATTTGTACACAGGACCTTGGTTTTTCTTCCCATTCGAACCACTAGACAGCTCTCCTTGTCAGGCCCTCCGTCCTGCATCACTGACAAGGGGAAAATCTGGATGAAATTTCTTGGCCAATGCAGGGATCGAACACCCGACCTCCGGGTTAGCGAGCCAGCGTCTTACCCACTTAGCCACGTGATCCCCAATAAGGAAATAATTTGTGACGTGAAAATGATGACGGATTTCACAGAATGCTGTAGTATTCAGATGTCGGAAGTCCATACCTCAAGTATAATCTGAAGTATGCAATTTAAATTTTGCCGCCAAATATTTTTTATGACAATCATTAAAGGAACAACGCCGTCTTTTATTAGCTCAGAAAGTTCAGAAAAGGATGTTAAACCCCATTTCATTTCACTTCACTTCACTTTAATTAAAGGTATTAAACCTCAGTCCAATACAATATTTAATTTGAGGAAGTCATGTCATTTCAGAAAACAAATCAATTCACGATATTATCTTAGGGACTGACATTTTGATTTTAGTGTCTAGTAAAACTATAGTTTGCTTTACCACCCCATTTTGATTTAGTTTAATTAAAGTTCGTCTTAACACTCCAATTAACAATATTATTTTAGGGACTACAAATTTGATTTAGTTAAATTAAAGTTCGCCTTACCACTCCAATTCACGATATTATTTTAGGGACTACAAATTTGATTTAGTAAAAGTAAAGTTCGTCTTACCACTCCAATTAACGATGATATTATTTTAGGGACTGCCAGTTTGATTTAGTATCTAGTTAAATTAAAGTTCGCCTTACCACCCCATTTTGATATAGGATCTAGTTAGAGTAAAGTTCGTCTTACCACTCCAATCGTTCATTAACACCATTCCAAAAATATGATTTTCTGCGTCTGCAATTGGAACTGGGTTTCCTAATTTGGTGGCTGGTCCTGTTAAAAATGCCATTTCTAATTCTATATCCATTAATTTACATGGTCCAAATACTGGAGGCTTGGCTGAAAAACAAAAACCAAATAATGAGTTTTAATCTATTGTCAATTTGATTAAAATACAGATCTATATTTCGTTTTGTTTTTTTATACTTTCGATGGCCTACACTATATGAAGATCTGACCGGTTGTCATTGAAGGTCGTGTCAGAGGTCATACCAGCGGCATTTTACCCTACGATGTCAGACATTTGATTAACTAATCAGCTTTGATGTTTCTATGGGTTACCCATAGTTCCGTGCATCTCACACCAAAAACTTGGTGTAACAGACCGTTTCATTGGCTAATCCCTCACATCAACCAGAATGCGGGTTATATAACAACTCTTCCAGATCCTAACGTAGTAAAGACAAGTAAAATGAAATTTTGAACTATAAAAAAAGAAACGAAATAGAATCTGTGAAATCAAATGTGAAAAACAGAGGCTATAATTTGCTGCTTGAATTCTTCAGACAGCAATCTGCAATAACTGTCTGAATGTTTTTCACTGAAAAAAGTTGTCAAAATGAAATGGGGTTTAATGTCCTTTTGTTCTGCTCCTACTGGGCTAATGAAGACAGGCTCACAGTGTGCTATGAGGGAAATTTTGCCCGGGCAGCAGCACTATGGCCTACTCTTAAATCGAATTCCATCTGCCAGAGATCTTTTGTGTGCACGCTAAGGTATACACAGGACTTTGGTTTTCCGTGCCATCCAAACGACTCGACAACTGTTCTCGTCAAGCCCTCCGTCCTGCACGACAGACAAGGGGGAAACGTCGGAAAATAAAAGAATTTGTAGTCTATCTTCTGAATCTATAAATTGGCCACTATCTTTTTTTTTAGAAGAGATTCTTCAAGATTTCAGATGTTTAAATCGGCGAAAATTATCGTCAAAATATTTTCTGAGATTCTCAGTAACTTAGTGCTAATTATTAATTTTACAGATTGTATCTCCTACTTCTTATCCAACGCATGTGTTGTTATCTTCTTTAAGCACAATTTTGATCTGGTAATCAATAAAGACTAATAAATCAAAGATCAAAATCTCTGTTTTCTGTCCCATCTGAATGACTAGACACTGTTTGTTGTCAGGCCCTTCGAAATACACTACTAATAAGGGAAAACCATGTCTAAACATCCTGATGAATTTTTTTGGCTAACATTGGGGAGTGAACCCAAAGACCTCCTGCTTAGCGAGCCAACGTCTTACTCACTGTGTCACTATGCCCCCCAATAAAGGAAAGATGAAGGATCAATTAAGGCCTACTTACTCTCATCTGGACGTGTTTGACCATTAGGTCGTCTGATATCTGTACCAGATACAACAACAGATGAAGCTCTACCATGATATCCTACTGGTAAATGTGTCCTGAAAATTTAAAGATACAGAATATCAACCAATTGATCACAATAACAATCTAAAAGGATCCTTTACAAGGCGGAGTCATTTCGGGGACTAACATATGGTTCAATTTTATTTTAATAATTCATTTGCGCGTAGGATCTTTAGCAGTGGGAGGAAACCAGAGGACCGGGAGAAAAACCACTAGGTTGGACAGGCGACCCTACTCCTTGTCATGTACAACCGGGGAATAGAAACCACACCAGTCGACTCAATGACAGACCTTATGATACAACGCGCCTGCGCTAACCAGTTATCCACCCCCCTCCCCTTTTAAAAAGATGGGTTTAACCGCCACTTGACACAAACCAGGCCATTTTGGGACTAACATATGGTCCAATTTTATTTCAATAATTCACTTGCGCGTAGGGGTCTTTAGCAGTGGGAGGAAACCGGAAAGCCCGGAGAAAACCCACAAGGTTGGACAGGCCAACATCTTATCAAGCCCTTCAAGTAACACCCTGAATATTTCGGCACTAATTTCGATTGGGTACTGACCCAGCTTGAGAGCCTATCAGATACCTCGATCATTGCGAATACGAAGTCTCGTGCTTTCCGGGTAAACTGTTTACAAGCGATAATCGAGTTGCAAAGTTTAAGGTTCGTTCAATGTCAAGGTTTCTGTGGAGGTTGCCACGTTTGATTTGAAAGTGATTGTGTCAGAACCTCTGATTGGACAACGCTATTGTTCATGTGTCTGCAGTAAAGGGAGATAACGTAGCTATAAGTTTGGGAATTGTAAAGCGATCTAGCAACGTCATGACGTTGTCAAACTTGCAGTCGTTGCTTGCGGAACATGGCAGTTTGTGTGAACTGTAAGGGAAGACAACTCTGATTTTGGGGAATGAATTCAGACTAGTAATCCTCTCCCCCATGACTGTTAAATTCGTGCTACTCCCTGGCCTATAACATTTTAATCTTTCTTCAGGTGTTCACGTGGGTAAAATAAATTCTGAATAACAGCCCACAAAGAATGCTTAATGAATTTTCCATTTTCTTACCAGTTTGGCATCAAAGCATTTTCTGGACCCCGGAACATGACACCAACATTGTAAGCATGGTTCTTAGAGGAATAAAAGTCTGTGTAGTCACCTGAAAATATAGAATTACAGTCATCAGTACTTATTGACCAAAAAATTGGTCCCCAAAGTAGGGCTGGCGGAAATAATCGATAATTGCCGATAATCGTTGGTAAGTGTTTTGAAAATCGATTATCGATACAGTTTTCAGTTCTTTCGTCTTCTCTGTTTCTAAGTCAAACACGTACTTTCCCTTCATAAAATTTATTATTTTATTAAGAAATTTGCGAAGAAATGTCTGAAGGGAGATTTTTAATTTCCCCAGTGCGAAGAAATCACTGCAATAAATAAACTGTTACGGTGAACTGAAGAATTCGTTTGATGTGATCAAAGGGAAATAACTACATTTTACTCAGTATTATTTAGGTCATAAGCGACAAAGATATGGCGAGTCCGAGCGGTGGCGGGTTCTGTCTTCCAAACGAAGTGGATTGATCGAGTTTCTTTCTACACCTTGGCTTCGCTATGGAATGCTATTATTTTATTGTCAAATGTCAAATAAATGAAAAAAAAAAATCTACATGTATACAGAATGATATCACAGCATAAACTCGCATATAATTCGTGTACAAATTATGATTCTTTTCAAAAAAATTGTAAGTCAAAATAATTTGCCGATATTATCGATTATCGATCGGCGGATGGTCCGCGATAATCGATACTTGAAACAGGATCAATTGCCAGCCCTACCCCAAAGCACTACACATCTTGTTGTTCTTGGAGGTGACGCTTTCCAATAATGGCTATGCTCGCTCAATTCAATTATGATATACATAAAACTTGGCAGGCTTGTTCCTTGGACAATTGCACATTGAATGATGGACTTCGATTTTTGATATGACATCATAATTATAAAATAACATGGAATGAAGTTTAACGTCCTACTGTTCTGCTCTGACTGGGCTATAATGATGACTGGCATATGCCATACAGTGTTTTATGAGGGAAATTTTGCACGGGCAGCGGCACTATGGCCTACTCTTATATCGAACTGCCAAGGGATCTTATATCGAACTGCCAAGGGATCTTTTACGTGCATGCCTATGTATACACGCCCCCCCCCCCCCCGGTTTTTCATTCCATCCGAACGACTAGAAAGCTGCCGTTGTCAGGCAGTTCGCCCTGCACAACTGACAAGGGGAAACCATGCTGGAAAATCTGCATGAACTTTCTCGGCCAATGCAGGGATCGAACCCCCGACCGCCAGGCTAGCGAACCAGCATCTTACGCACTTTGCTACAGTTTATAAATACCCCATCTTCATTAGCCCAGTCGAAGCAGAAAAGTAAATATACATCAATTTACCTATATTGGCAGGAAGATGCATTGTTGCGTCTGTCTGATTTACAAATGCTCTGAAAAATACACAAAAATAGACAAAGTATAAACTAGGTCATTTGGAGAGAAACAAACTAGGTCATTTTGAGACTAACATATGGTTCAATTTTATTTCTATAATTTGCTTGCATGTAGGGGTCTTTACCAGTGGGAGGAAACCAGAGGACCCGGAGAAAACCCATGAGGTTGGGCAATCGACCCTACTACTTGTCACATACAACCAGGGAATCGAAACGATGCCAGTTGACTCAATGACAGACCTTATGATACAACATACCTGTGCTAACCATTCAGCCATCCACTCCCATTGTATACATTTTAATCTTTATAACCACCAGGAGAACAACATATCTGATAAAAACATTTTAAGGGTTTGACCATCTCGATTTTCTGCTATCTCATGAAAAATTTGATAAAATAGTTATAAAACTGCTATAAAATAAACATGTCCAAATTGCTTCTCAAATCTTTAGAATAGAGCAATAATTTAATCTGTACCCTGAAAAGATCAATTCAAAACTTACTTTTTTCGCAAATCAGCATTATCTCTCAGAGTACTTTCAGATGAAGATAACAGTTTTTGTAGTGTCTGTCTGGCCTCGGTCCAAGCTGGTCTTCCAAGACCCATGAAGTCATTGAGAACAGGCTGAACGATAATAGAAATAAGTTTCAATGAGGTGAAGTAATGGTCCACTTGGCTTTATTCATTTAAACTTTTAAGAATGCTATCTTTTCATTAGTCAAGAGCTAAAATTCATACTAGGATTTTAACCTCTAACCAATGAAAAGGCTGCATGTTTAAAGTATCTTAAATATTTTTCTGGATGATAGAGACTATACACATAGCTACATTATTGTACACACGTCCTCTCTCATCCACAGGAGCAAGACGGAAGACGTCAGTGGTGGAACCGCTTCTTCCATACACCAAGAGATATCCCAACCTAATGCATACATTTAAACATACATTATGCAAGAGCTAAACCTGCCTATTGGAGGTCTTTCTTTGGGCCCGAAATGTTATATAAACTATTAATTAGACATTTATTAACATCACATCTTATGCGGCTGATTTTCACTGGATTTGGATCCGATCTGCTGCTCAACGCTCATTGATGATTAAATCCAAAAATGGATGATCGAGGCTAAGCCTAAAATTCAACTGCTAATGTCTTGGTTCAGAGTAGAGCAATTTGATTGAAATTTTAAGCATTTCCCCTTTACATTATCTAGTTTTTATCTATTGTAGTGAGAACCGACAGCTCTTTATCTAATCATCCATAAGGCCGCTTTAATTGTTGGAGAATAAGAATAGGGGTCTTTAGCAGTGGGAGGATATCGGAGGACCCCGAGAAAACCCACAGGGTTGGACATGCGAGCCTACTCGTTGTCACGTACAACCAGGGAATCAAAACCCCGCCAGTTGACTCAATGACAAGACTTTATGATACAGGGTGCACACGCTAACCATTCGGCCATCCAACCCCCCTCTTTTGTTTGAACATAGATACAGATAAATGATGTCCTATAAAGAATGAACAATCTAAAAACAATACCTGTAAAAAGACATTTTGATTTTTGGATAAAATGGGACCATTAAACAGTTGGACTACAGAACTCAAATCTAATATCTGATCTCCAATGGCAACACCAATTCTTCGTTTACTCTGTGAAAAAAAAAAAAAAAAAAAATTAAGTTATCAACCTGAATAGCAACTTAAACATCCTACTTTTCTGGGCTAATGAAAATGGGCATACACTATCAATGAGCTATGGTGGAAATCTTTTCCTGACAGAGGTAAGCTTTATTTCAAATTCAACTGTCAAGGATTCTTTTAAACATACATTATGCAAGAGATAAATCTGCCTATTGCAGGTCATTCTTTAGGCCTGAAATGTTTTCTAAATTATTAATTAGACATAAATTAACTTATCCAGGCCATAATCAACTCTCGATGGCATTGGATTTCTCCGATATTAAATAGATTAGAACAGTTCAGCCATATTAATATTTTGATTTAAACCCCCAATTCATTTTTTGTTTGCATGAGTTTGTTTCCAGTGTACATGCCGGGTCCACTTACTATTAGCATTGGTCTATTTCAGTATTGCTTGCTTTGACTATCAGTTGTGCAGGATGTAGGGCCTGGCAAGGTGTAGGGCCTGGAAAGGAGCAGTAGCTAGGCTACCTAGTTGTTTGGATGGGATGTTAAAGTGAGGTCATGCGATGACCTGTCTGTTGGCATGCATGTAATTTGACTATGAATAAGTATGAAGAGTGGGCTTAAGAGTTTAACGCCACTATCATAGCAATATTTCCCTCATAGCATACTACATGGCATTTATTTATTTATTAGTCTAGTTACAACAGAGAAGTTGGAGGCTAAAATTCCATTTCATGCTTTGACATTCTAGCAGTAATAGGACCAGTTGGGGGCTTGGTCGTTTTCCAGAAATTTGATTGGCCTAGACTGTCTTGAACATATTTATTGACCAATCAAACAATCGATAGCTGTTCTTGACCTGCAAAGCACGTTGCTTTCTTTCTGTAGCACTGCCGAATTTATGAAATATTAAAATAACAGCATAATAAATAGATACATACATTGTCTTTGGTAGAAAATACACCATACGGCAAATTCTGGATTGAGAAATGACATTCGGGTGTAACATTTATGAAGGACATTTTGCTGACCTAGAGAAAAGAGCACTTGTCTATCCACGAGGCTTACCTACAAGTCTTTGTTATCATGACATTTTCTCTTGTTCAAAATACAGAGAACATGTTATGTCTGGAAAAACAAAATTAGAAAGATTTCGAACTTTGACCTATCTAACTAAATTGTTTTCGGACATGTATTTTTAAAGAAAAGAAATGTTCGATAATTTTCAAATATTATGTTCCATAAAGATAGCCGTTTGGAATATATATTGAAAGTAAACTTTGACAAAGTCCAATTATTAAACAAAGGTCTAGAACACACTTTTTTTGCTAAATACGACGATAAATGTCATAGCTCTACTTTTTTTTAGGGAAGATAACTCGAACATTTTTTTTTCAATGGCCGAGTAAAAACAAATTTTAATTTATTGAAAATGAAGAATGCAGTTGCTGTGCGATATTTCAGATGGTTTAGACAAGCTAGCACCAAATTCCAGTTGTGTCGGAGATTTTCTGTGGATCAGGCACCAGTTATCGGAACCGAACAAGATGTTTCATCGCCGGATTATCAGGTATTTTCCGATAAATGCTAAAATGGCTGATAGCACTGTAGCAGCAAACTTCAGATGAGAAGTCAAGCGTTAAGTACGAAGGACAAAAAATTCGTCTGCTTAGGTTTGGTCTCGGTGACTGAATGCATTCCCAAGTAAAGTTATATTTTCTTCTGTTGCTGTCAAACACTCAGGTATCAATGCACATAAACAGTTATCAATAGTAGGCTACATCAGTGCACCTCATTAAAAAAAAAAGGGGGCCTAGCCCTAAGCCTATACCATAAAGAAAAAGGGAAAGTAAAAACAAGAAAAGAGAAAGAAAGGCTGTGTCCTGTCCTCTCCTTCCTTCTTTCCTAATAATAGTGCTCTTAGGTCAGTCTGTTATCCAATTGTATCAGGAAATCAAAAATTTGCCTTCTTCTGCTTTGGTCCGAAATGCTTGGAAAATGGGTTTGCGGTTGTCAATTTTCAAAATTTTCCTGTTTTTTTTCAGCTTTTACAATGATTCTGTGATAATTTTATCCCTATATTAATTTTTTAAAACAATTACAGGTGTATGTGAAGGGTACTGTGAAGCACCACAGAGCAGTATTACACACTGGAGGTCACAGCGCTGTATAAGAAGATGATTATTATTTTTTATTTACCATTAGGCCTATAATTCCATTTGTTACCTGTCAATCAATTTCAAATTAATTTTTCATTTGTTTCAGGATAAATATAATAATATGAAAGATCTAGTGAACACTTTAAAGTCAAAGATTTCCAAGATTTTGGAAGGTAAAAATAAAGCTATCATTATTAATATTGTAGATTTTAGTTTAAACCAGTGATGAGATTTCAAAGTTTTAGTTGTCGGACATTTTCTTCCCGAAAATAAAGGGAAATAACTGTTATCATTATTTAAGCAGGTATTTTCAAACCACAATTAAGAATCACGTGTCAACAAAATATTCAAATTCATACATAATTAAAGAAAAAGTAGGCCACCTCGTTATTTTTCATATTTAATTCCCGTACGGTATTCAAGTTTATGTCAATAATATTCCTACAAAATTACACGACATCATAATACCATAGAATGAAAGTGTGCCGACTATTGCCCATCCGTACCGGTTTCAAATTTCGCCAAAATTACTGTATTTTTTGGGTCATGAGTCGATACATTTTTCAGCAAAGTCCGGCATTCGTCTTATACTCTGTTTCGATTTATATACGGAAGGTAAAAAAATGACATCCCGAAATTTATTTGACCGTAAAGTGTAAACAGTAGTAAACGTCGCTCTAATACAACGAGCGGGGTGACAGCAACTGCTAAATAATCCCATTCGACTCTAAGCACGCGCTATCGTCTAAAACAATTACTGTAACTAACTACTTACGTTATTCCAATTGAAATATTCTTCAACATTTCTTAGCTTGTTTATTTATTTATTTAAAAACATAAACCCCATTCAAAATATGATCATAAATCCGACAATATGCCATCAAAATAGAATCTTTTATCCCGACATCAGACATATTATATTCGGCACGTTTACACCTCTTAATTCCACGTGTCTTGCGAGATTTCTTCTTTCATTTTGAGTGTGTGTGAAATAGCTTTATTTAACTTCGGCTTCCACTGAAGAAATATCACAGACAAGTTATCGGTCACAATGTATAGTGCTTTGGGGTGTTATCTACTATTAGGATATCTGACATATATGACTAATGTCTACAGCGACTTCAAGGAAATTAAAACGTGAGACAATGGAGAAATCACGGGTTAATCCTGTAGATTAAGTTTATTGGATTGATATATAGTTCGACAAAGGAGAAGCAATGACTTCTGTAGTTTAGGATTGAATTGATGAATTGTCCAACAAAGAATTAAATCAGCCAATCAAGGCAGATTAAGTAGTTAATCAAGGTAGGTGTATAGACGGTATAAATGATAAATACGTTGATCACTTAATTACCTAATCAATCCAGCCTATTATCAACAATAATCGGGTTGAGTGGTAGTTATACACTCAGTACACTATATTAATTTTGGAATTTTGAATATTATTTACCATGTCTTGATGTCCGATTGGGCATATTCCTGGTCGGACAATTTAGGACGTTTTGGAAAATAGCGTCAGACATGTCCGGAATATACGGGCAAAATCCCATCACTTGTTTAAACATACATTATGCAAGAGGTAAATCTGTAAAATGTAATATGAGTGTTTTCTTAGTTGAAAAATGTGAGTAGCCATAAGTGAATGGCAGCTGTTGGTGTCTATTTGTCACGATGGCTCAGTGTGTAAGACGTTGACTCGCTAACCTGGAGGTCCCATGTTCAATCCCTGAGTTGGCCGAGAAAGTTCATCAGGATTTTCCGGCGTGGTTTCTCCTTGTCAGTGGTGCAGGATCAAGGGCCTGGCAAGGGAAAATGTATAGTTGTTGGGATGGTATGAAAAACTGAGGTCCTGTGTACACATTGGTGTGCATGTAAAAGATCCTTTGTCAGTTGAAATTCGATATAAGAGTAGGCTGTAGTGTCGCTGCCCTGGGAAAATTTCCCTCATAGCACACTGTATGGCATATGCCCGTCTTCATTAGCCCAGTCGCAGCAGAACAGTAGGACGTTAAACCCTATTTTATTTCATTTCATTCGGAAGTATGGTTTGACATTTCACTTACACACTGATGTTCAGCCCCATTTGTCAAGGTGCATCATAACAAATTTATTTTGAGAGCATAGAGTACACGGCAGCGTGTACTGTTAAAGGAGCTAAATCCCTAATATTTGGGACCTAGAAATTGAGACAAATGTGTCGCAATGCATACAATAATGTGATATAAATGTATATAAACTGATTTACGTTCAATCGTTTCCATTTTTACTCTAATTTCAAATTAGTTATGTTCGGCGAAGTAGCCGAAGTGGCAATTTCTAGCGTCTAGTTATTCCAGTCTACGCCGATACTATTTATTGCGCATGCTCTCCAGATAAGAATATGAGGTCACCATTTGACATGACTTGTGAAATATTTCTAGCCTCGTTCTTCGAGTCCCTTGTTACAAATAGTGCTGAAACGCATTATGGTACACGATTCGTGTACCAATGGTAAAATGTTCATTTTGTCTTAAATATTGGATATCAGAAGCCGATCTTTTCGCGGTAAGATCACAACATCAATGTTGATTTAAATTGACAAATAAGTCGTGTTTTCAATGTCGAAGACTTTGGATGATATTGAGTTAGAGACTTAGCTACTTTAAGTGGAAATATTTTTTGCTAATTTCATATTTTTCTCACCATATTGTTTGTTTGTTTTGGTATACAGGTGGTGGTGAGAAAGCTATAGAGAGACATGTTTCTCGTGGTAAAATGTTACCTCGTGACAGAATCAATGCTCTACTGGATCCTGAGTAAGTTAAATTAGGCCCCCCAAAAAAGGGTTCTGTTTCTTGTAACGGATGGAAAATAAGGTAGGGTCGGTAGGTAGGGTTTTTTTTTTGTTTTTTTTTTTAACGCTACATTGTTAGATCTAGTAGTAGATCTACCGTAGCAATTAGCATAATATTCTGTGCGAAATAAATAAGCGATATCTCCTAAGAAGAAGATATCACAGTAGATTATGAAATTCATCACGCAAGCGATATCTACTGTAGAATGTATTATTGGGTGATAAATATATTTTTAGCATGATTTCAAAACATTTATAAAGCTCTGTCTTCACCAAAATCCTGCAAAATGTTTGGAAATGTCTTAAGAAATGTCACAGTTCCAAAATGTTATTTTCTGTCTCTTATCGCGAGATATTAATGCAATGTACATCAAAATAACAGAGCCTAATCTGACCCCCTCGGGTTATATAATTTATAATATTTAATTTGGGAGGTGAATTTTTGATTTGAATTCACTTTCTATCCTATACTGTTGTATGTTTCAGGTCTCCATTCCTAGAATTAAGTCAGTTAGCAGGTTATGAGTTATATGGTAAAGAAGAAGTACCTGCAGGTGGAATTATTACTGGTATTGGTAGAGTTTCTGGGTATGTAACTTCCCCAGTAGTATAACATGTTAGGTTACCAACCTTTTGCATTCCATGTGTCAAATATTGTCTGTTTAACTTATAACTTCAAAAGATGTGACATATAATTTTAAAAGGTGTGACATAACTTCAAAAAGTCTAACATGTAACTTCAAAAAAGCTTCAAAAAGTCTAACATGTAACTTCAAAAAAGCTTCAAAAAGTCTAACATGTAACTTCAAAAAAGCTTCAAAAAGTCTAACATGTAACTTCAAAAAAGCTTCAAAAAGTCTAACATGTAACTTCAAAAAAGCTTCAAAAAGTCTAACATGTAACTTCAAAAAAACTTCAAAAAGTATGACATATAACTTCAAAAAGTATGACATATAAATTCAAAAGATGTGACATAAGGCTTCAAAATGTATGACATGTAACTTCAAAAAAGCTTCAAAAAGTCTAACATGTAACTTCAAAAAAGCTTCAAAAAGTCTAACATGTAACTTCAAAAAAGCTTCAAAAAGTCTAACATGTAACTTCAAAAAAGCTTCAAAAAGTCTAACATGTAACTTCAAAAAAGCTTCAAAAAGTCTAACATGTAACTTCAAAAAAACTTCAAAAAGTATGACATATAACTTCAAAAAGTATGACATATAAATTCAAAAGATGTGACATAAGGCTTCAAAATGTATGACATGTAACTTCAAAAGATGTGGCATATAAATTCAAAAGATGTGACATAAATTCTAAAGATGTAACATACTGGTAGAACTTCAAAAAATATGACATTTAAATTCAAAAGATGTAACATACCGGTATAACTTCAAAAGATTGAAATAAGAAAAAGTGTAAACAGAGATAGAAAAAATATTAATCTTTTTCTTAAAGGACAATATTGTTGTCAGCCATTATCACATACATGTTAAAACTGGTCGACAGTCAATTCTTTCTATAAATTGTTTGATATATTCTTACAGTCTCATATATAACAACTTTTGGTCTTCAAAGGAATTTATCAGTGAGCAGAAATTCGCCCATGTATCTGTTATCACTTGTTAATTCAGTCAGTTAAATAGAACGATAACTTGTGTTCTCCTTTTGCGTTTGTCACTTCCTTTACTTGAAATCTTTGTTACGCATCTATTGTAGCAATGATCTCTGTGTTAAAATTATATTTGGAACATTTTTGACCAGTTCTGTCACGTGTGTGATAATAGCTGACACCAACACTGTCCTTTAACCTCTGTGTCAGAAACGTTGGTCTGACAAAAAAGTCTGGGAAACCACTTTGATATAGCTTGGTTCAGAGGGAAAAAATTACTTACGGACAATTTAAGAAAGTCAAAACATTGGTCTACCAAAGAACTCTGTGATACCTGGTCTCGAGTTCACAAAGCATTCTCAGACTTAAGTTAAGAATTTACTCAAAATTGTTCGCCTTATTTTAACAAAAATATAAAACTTCTGTTGTTTTAATGTATCAAAAACTTCAATAAGAAACTATGTGCAAAGTTTTGTGTTTCTGGATCATCCGACAAGGTGAAAAATAGACGGAAAATATCACCTTGAACTTTTGGTGAGCACCGAGGGGGGTTGGGTGGCTAAGGTCTGTCATTGAGTAAGTGTGGCAAGGAGAAGGGTCGCCGGTCCAACCTCGTGGGCTTTCTCCGGGTCCTCTGGTTTCCTCCCACTCCTAAAGACCCCTACACGCTATCGAACTATTGAAATAAAATTGAACCATATGTTAATCCCGAAATGACCTAGTTTATATCAAGTTGACCTCTCTCTCTCTCTCTCTCTCTCTCTCTCTCTCTCTCTCTCTTACTCATGAACTCCTGATTAGTGAGTCCATGCCACCCTGGCTCCTGATTATAGCTCCCAGAAACTTTGATACAAGCTTGAAATACTATGTATTATGGTTTTTATTTCAAAGTCTCTGATAAATGGTTATGAATAGTTATGACTATGTTTTATGGTTTTTATTTCAGAGACTCTGATACAAACTTGTTACTATGTATTATGGTTTTTATTTCAGAGCCTTCGATAAATGGTTACGACTATGTATTATGGTTTTTATTTCAGGGTAGAGTGTATGATAGTTACAAATGATCCTACAGTAAAAGCGGGAACATATTATCCTATTACAGTTAAAAAACATTTACGAGCTCAGGACATAGCCAGAGAAAATAATTTACCTTGTATATATTTAGGTACGTACTTATGGGGGTAGACATAAAATTTTGGAATTGTAACTTGCCATTTTGCTGTCAATATTTTGGGTAAAACTAGTTCCATTATTGTGGACATGGGTGAAGCATTATTAAAGGCACAGTGGAAACATTATTGAGTACATAGTTGAAGTATTCTTCAGGACATAGGGGAAGCATTATTCTGGACACATTTGAGTTTTATTGTGAACACAGGTGAAGCATTATTGGGGACACAGGTGAAGCATTATTAATTAAAGACACAGTGGAAGCACTATTGTGGACACAGGGGAAGGGTCACCTGTCCAACCTCGTGGGTTTTCTCTGGGCCCCTTGGGTTTCCTCCCTAGCTAAAGAGCCCTACATGCAAGCGAATTATTGAAATAAAATGAAACCATATGTTAGTCCCGAAATGACCTAGTTTGTGTCGGATGGATGTTAAACCACATTTCTCTCTCTCTATTTATAAAGATATGTGGAATTGAAATGTTATCGATCGATGCTGCTCACTATGTAATAAGCTTGCCGCTATTTTGTTGTCCGTGAAAATTTATTGATAGGCCTGTTTTAAATCCGATTGAATCCAAACCGGGACATTATCTAGCGTTCGTATTTTTATTTTGTTTTCTTAATTAAATGGTAAATAATCATTTATAAGCTTGGATTAATCCGTGAGAAATTTGATATTTTAGCGAAAAATTCATATCATGACGCTTCGTTAACTTTAAATTTCTTTCTTTCACCACAGTTGATTCTGGTGGTGCTAATCTACCAAGACAAGATGATGTCTTTCCTGACAGAGATCATTTTGGTCGAATATTTTATAATCAAGCTAATATGTCAGCATTAGGAATACCTCAGGTAAGGTACATAATTCATACAACTTTTGTATATTTATTACAGATAGTAGTAGTATTGGGTATATTTTTGTATAATATTTATTACAGAAAAACTGTAGTATTGGGTATATTTTTGCATAATATTTATTACAGATAACTGTAGTATTGGGTATATTTTTGTATAATATTTATTACAGATAACTGTAGTATTGGTTAAATTTTTGTTTATTACGGATAGCCGTAGTATTGGGTATATTTTTGTATAATATTTGTTACAGATAACGTAATATTGGGTATATTTTTGTGTATTTGTTACAGATTATGCATGTATTGGGTATATTTTTTGTATATATTACAGATAGCAGTAGTATTAGGTATGTGTACAGCTGGTGGAGCATATGTACCTGCTATGGCAGATGAAAGTATAATTGTAAATAAAGGAACTATTTATTTGGCTGGTCCACCATTGGTAAGTATCTTCTTGGTCTAAATTTATGATATTTTAGGTGAGGTTGGTGTGAACACATCTGATCAAAAGGTCTGTGATTGAGTCAAGTGGAGTGGTTTTGATTCCCCGCATATACGTGACAAGGAGTAGGGTCGCCTGTCCAACATCGTGGGTTTTCTACAGGCCCTCTGGTGAGATTCAGACCGAGACCGCTGTAAGTTTGTCATAAAAGCAGAATATTGTTAAAAGTTGATAAGAAAATTTATTAAGGTACAGTCCAATTTACAAGGCCTGTCCAACTTCGTGGGTTATCTCCGGATCCTCCGGTTTCGTCCCACTGCTAAAGACCCCTTACACACGCGAATTATTGAAATAAAATTCAACCCTATGTTAGTCCCGCATAGACCTAGTTTTCTTAAACCCCATCTCTCTCTCTCTCTCTCTCTCTCTCTCTCTCTCTCTCATCTCTTGAGCAATAAAGTTCACTGCATGAATAGAAAAATTGCTTTAAAGCAAGCCTCTTAAGCAGAAACATAAACCTTGTGAACATTAAAACTGATCACACAAGTTTCTTCATAAACCATAACAAAAATAGACCTTATGACGAGCAAAGTTCACTTGTGTTAGAGTTATTGTCGATATGGTTGGAAAAGTTTTTTTTGTCATCTATACTAGTTTATTGTCAAAAACTATAAAATTATTAATGTTGAATATATTTTATAGGTAAAGGCAGCTACAGGAGAAGAAATATCAGCAGAAGAATTAGGTGGGGCTAAATTACATTGCAGGTAGGCCTACACCTTTCCATCATGCCTTACACCAAATCTTTTGTTCCACAGAAGACTGCTTGATTTCCAAAAGTCTTTTTTTTTCAAATCTAGTGGTTTAAAGTGTGCGCATGAAACCATAAGATCTGTCATTGAGTCAAGTGGTGTGATTCCTCGCCTGAGAGTGACAAAGAGTAGGGTTGCCTGTCCTATCTTGTGGATTTTATCAAGGTCTTCCAGTTTCCTCCCACAGCTACATGTAAAGACCCCTGTGTTGAGTTTTGTTGTGAACTGTTAATATTTGATTATATGTCTTATTTTATTCCATTAAAGGGGCTAAATCAATAATATTTGGGACCTAGAATTGACACAAATGGGTCACAACGCATACGATAATGTAATATGAATGTATATAAACTGATTTACATTCAATCGTTTCTATTTTTACTGAAATTTCTAATCAGTTATGTTCAGCGAAATATGCTAGAAGTCTCAATCGAATGGAAATCTCTAACGTCTGGTTATTCCAGTCTACACCGATAGTATTTATTGCACATGCTCTCCAGATAAGACTATGGCGTCACCCTTTGACATGACTTGTGGAAAATGCCTAGTCTTGTTTTTCGAGTCCCTTATTACAAATGGCACTGAAACGCATTATGGTACACGATTCATGTACCAATTGTAAAATGTTTATTTTGTCTTAAATATTGGATATCAGAAGGCCATCTTTTCCCGGTAAGATCACAACATCAATGTTGATTTAAATTAACAAATTATTCGTGTATTCAATGTCGAAGATTTTGGATGATATTGAGTTAAAGACTTAGCTACTTTAAATATATGTTATATTTGATTATATATGTTATTTTATATCAGTAAATATATGTTATTTTTGATTCTGTTTTTTATTTTATTTCAGTAAATCTGGTGTAACTGATTATTATGCTGAAGATGATGAACATGCATTATATCTAGCTAGACGAGCTCTAAGTAATATTAATTATAATAAAGAACCAGGTGTAAGTTATATCTAGCTAGACAAGCTCTAAGTAATATTAATTATAATAAAGACCCAGGTGTAAGTTATATCTAGCTAGACAAGCTCTAAGTAATATTAATTATAATAAAGACCCAGGTGTAAGTTATATCTAGCTAGACAAGCTCTAAGTAATATTAATTATAATAAAGACCCTGGTGTAAGTTATAACTAGCTAGACGAGGTCTTAGTAATACTAATTATAATAAAGACCCAGGTGTAAGTTATATCTAGCCAGACAAGCTCTAAGTAATTATTTGGTGCTGAGCCAAATGTCAGCATTTTATTAGAACTAAAATCAATTATTCAACTGCAGAAAAACATAAAATTTGTAGCTCTGTGTTAAAGAAAGACAGTAAGACACAAATATATAGCTTAGACTAATCAACTCAAGTGAAGCATATAAATATGGTTTTAACATACATCATGTGAAAAAGTTGTCTAACCATGGTGAACCTATGGCAACCATTTCCTCTTCATTCACAGAAGATTTGTAAACTGAGAAATGATCACTTGTGTCGACCATAAAGACTTAAACTTAAATTTTGTTGTAAACTATGTAAATGTTAAATGGATTGACCTGAAGGGTGGTTCGATGGCTGAATGGTTAGCACATGTGCGCTGTATCATAAGGCCTGTCATTGAGTCGAGGGGTGTGGTTTTGATTCCCCGCTTGTATGTGACAAGCAGTAGAGTCGCCTGTCCAACCTTGTGGGTTTTGTCTGGATTCTCCGGTTTCCTCCCACTACAGACCCCCACTACAGACCCCTCGTGCAAGCGAATTATTGAAATAAAATTAAACCATATGTTAGTCCTAGTTTGTGTTGAGTGGATGTTAAACCCCATTTCACTTTCTACTGACGTTAAAGGTTTAAAGTTGATTTTCTCTGTATTTTATGTTGTAAACTATGTTAATGTTAAATGTATAAAATTATACATTATGTTTCAGATGACGATAGCCCCACCAAAAGAACCACTTTATCCAGCAGATGAATTATATGGTATTGTTGGTGATAATCTTAAAAAAACTTTCGATGTTAAAGAAGTGAGTGTTATAGTTATAATAATTGTTACGTTAAAAGTTAAAAAATTGGAAGTAACTGGATTTTCCGACGTGGTTTCACCTTGTCAGTGGTGCAGGACGGAGGGTCTGACAAGGACAGCTGTCGAATCATTTGGATGGTGCGTAAAACCAAGGTCCCGTGTATACATTGGCATGCACGAAAATGATCCCGTGGCAGTTGGAATTCAATATAAGAGTAGGCCAGAGGGCTGCTGCCCAGGTAAAATTTCCCTCATTGCACACTGTATGGTGTTTGCTCATTTTCGTTAGGCCAGTCGGAGCAGAACAGTAGGACGTTAAACCCCATTTCATTTCATTTGGAAGTAACAAGTCTCCGTTGACTGATGACTACCCGTTATATATATGATGGTAGGTTATAGGACATACTGTAAATCAAATAAAACAGGGTTCAGCGTCCTACTTTTCTGCACCCACTGGGCTAATTTTGCCGGGACAGCGACACTACGGGTATTCAGTATGATAGATATTATATGATATGTTGTTAAATATATGTCACATATTGCAGAGGGTAGTATATGATATGATGTTATATATATCACATATTGTAGAGGGTAGTCAGTATATTATATGATATGATGTTATATATATCACATATTGTAGAGGGTAGTCAGTATATTATATGATATGTTATATATATAATTGCAGGTTATATCACATATTGTAGAGGGTCGTCAGTATATTATATGATATGATGTTATATATATAATTGTACATTATATCACATATTATAGATCATAGTTAGGATGACCCGTGCACTTTACAGAAAGTTGGTCTCGACACGGCTAAATGTGCACGCTTCAGTTGCGTGTCTCGAACTGATTTCTGACTACCCCGCACTCGCTTTGAGTCGATAAATAGCCATGGCACGTGCAATTCTCTACAAATATATCAACTATTACAGCCGTAAAAAATCTATTGTTGACGATTTTGAATAGCAGTAAAATTTAGCTTCTTGGTTATTACAGCAGCTTTAGTAATTACGTTTGTTTTATTTTTTAAATTGCTTTATCATTAACTGTACCGTTAAGAGCGGCATCTTTTGGTTTAGTACAAATACTATCTCTGAATCACTTTCTTTAGCAGGAACATGATACTAGCAGTAGTTTCATTTTACTTTTACAAGTTTCTTAAAACAATTGTTGAGTTGTCTAAAGTGCTTATTTCTAAATTCAATTTCTTGTTCTAGCTTTCTGTTATGTTTCGTAAAAAAGTAGTCTTGATTATCCCGACCTGTCAATCAGACGTAGAATGGTCGATAGACTGGTTAAGCGAGACTAATTTCAAAACAAGGGCACGTAACCTATCTTTTACTCAAAAGTGTCTGGATGTTATGGACGCAACTTGGAACCAGTTTTCAGTCTATTATTTATAGATGATTAATGGTCATAGCTTATTAAGTACAACATGATCATTTATTTAGTGACTATAATTGTGTGAAACTGATTTGAGGCTTGGCATATATATAAATATTGTGGCGTAATTGTCGAGATATTTGGAGATATTTATTTATGGTGGGTCACCCTATCATAGTCGGTATATTATATTATATAATATGATGTTATATATATAATTGTAGGTTATATCACATATTGTAGAGGGTAGTCAGTATATTATATGATACTATATGATGTTATATATATAATTATAGGTTGTATCACATATTGTAGAGGGTAGTCAGTATATTATATGATACTATATGATGTGATATATATAATTGCAGGTTATATCACATATTGTAGAGGGTAGTTTATGATATTAAATATATAATTGTAGGTTATAGCACGTATTGTCGATGGTAGTCAATTTGATGAATTTAAAGCTATGTATGGTGAAACATTAGTCACTGGTATGTTTAATATTTTTATACGCTCATTTGCACCTTCCACACTACAGATAAGCACAGTACTAAGTGGTATCAGGTGTTCCAAACAGTCAGTATATACTTCCTTCTGCATACCAAGGGGGCCACGGTGGCTCTGTGAGTACGATGTTGGCTCGATATCCTGGAGGTCCCATGTTAGATCCTTGTGTTGGCTGGGAAAGTTCATAGGGATTTTTCTCCTTATCAGTGGTGCAGGACCAATGGACAATGTATAGTCGTTCAGGTAGGACTAAAAACTGAGGTCTCGTGCACACATTGCTGTGCACATTAAAGATCTCTTGGCAGCTGGAATTCAATGTAAGAGTAGGTCGTAGTTAAACCCCATTTCATTTCGTACAAGTTGTACAATAACCAAAACTGGCCTGAATTTATGAAAGCACATGAACTCTGACTGTACTACAGACAGGAACTTGTTCTTAGGAATTAGACAGCAAGACTTTTTTAGCAGGGCCATAAATTTGGTTCTGGTAAAATTATGGGTATTTTTTTACCGACTCTAGTTTTATACAGTTTAATCTGAAAAATGCTTGTGCATGACTCATGAGAGAGTCTTTATAACCGTGTATTTAACCAGATTTTGTTTATATATAACCCAGTTTTGTTTGTATTTAACCTGGTTTTGTTTGTATTTAACCCGGTTTTGTTTGTATTTAACCTGGTTTTGTTTGTATTTAACCAGATTTTGTTTGTATTTAACCAGGTCTTTTTTTGTATTTAACCAGGTTTTGTTTTTTTAACCAGGTTTTGTTTTGTTTGTATTTAACCAGGTTTTGTTTTGTATTTAACCAGGTTTTGCTAGGTTATGGGGTTATCCAGTTGGTATTGTAGGAAATAATGGTGTACTATTTTCTGAGTCTGCGTTAAAGGTAAGAAATATTTGATCCTCTCATAAAGTATTACATAATGATAGTTTAGTATTAAATGATATCAATCTCTGAAGACCAGAGGTGGGGACAAGGTCCGAGTCAAGTCCCAAGTTGCAACATCTGAGTCGCATCCCGAATCGCTGACTTTAGTCGAGTTGAAAGTTTTCACAAAGCCTATGTCCCGTTCGAGTCGCCAGTTCATCAAATGAGTCAGTAATTAATGGCGAAAAAAGCAAGTTTGAGTTATGTACCGAATCCTTAGTGTTTTCAAGTTTCGAATTGTCACGACTGCCAAATCTTGAGTCGTGACAAATATTTCAAGACTAGTCGCTATTCAGGTCTTCGATGCAATTTAAGTCGGATTTGTGTCGGACTCACAGGACCTCTACTGAGGATCATATTGTCAAACTTTGATCAGTGATAAACAGGGTTGAAACATTAATTATCTCTTAATCAACATTTAGAAATACAGCCATTAGAGTAGAGCCATAACTTAAAAATATTTCTAAATTCAAAACTGCATAAAGTTGTGATTATGACTAATAGCTCTAGAAAAGAGTTGTAGATAAAAATCTATTTGATTTTAGGCGGGGGGGGGTTGGATGGCCGAATGGTATTGGTTAGCATGTGCGCGCTGTATCATACGGTCTGTCATTGAGTCAACAGGCGGGGTTTCAATTCCCCGGTTATACATGACAGGGAGTAGGGTCGCCTGTCCAACCTCGTGGGTTTTCTCCGGGTCCTCCTGTTTCCTCCCACTGCTAAAGACCCCTACGTGCAAGCAAATTATTGAAATGAAATTGAACCATGTGTTAGTCCTGAAATGACCTTGTTTACGTCGAGTGAACGTTAAACCCCATTATCCTCTCTCTTTCTTAAAAGTTAAAATTTAACACTCGACACAAACTAAGCCATTTCGCGCCTAACATAACGAGTGGACATTAAAACCCCATTTCTCTCTCTATCTCTCTATTTGATTTTTTTTTTTTTTGTAGGGAGCTCATTTTATAGAACTGTGTTCACAGAGAGGAATACCTTTAATATTCTTACAAAACATAACAGGTATTAATGTCAATCTGATTGAAATACAGATCTATATTTCGTTTCATTTTGTTATACTTTCTATGGCCTTTTGTCCTCATGGTGTCAGACATTGATTAATCATTCAGCATTGATTAATCATTCAGCATTGATTAATCATTCAGCATTGATGTTACTAGTGGTTTACCCACAGTTTCGTGCATCACACACCAAGACGTCGCCGTAACAGATGGTTTCATTGGCTAATCCCCTAAGCCATCCAGTACACAGGTTATATAACAACTCTTCCAGATCCTAGTGTAGTACAGACAAATAAAACGAAATTTTGAACTATAAAAAATGAAACCAAATAGTATCTGTGTTTTAATCAGATTGGATTAGTGTTGTATATTGTAAATTTATCGACTTAAAGAACGAAACTAATGTAAACATAAATATTTACAAATGCACAGAACTATTGGAAAACACAAATAATTATGGTTGGGTTATTTATATTAAACATGATGAACAGTCGAAGCAATATTATTGTTATGACTAAAGCTGAGGTCAAGATCTGAACGCCAAATTTCAATAAGAATAAACATCAAAGTACCGATCAAAGTTCATAAAGTAGCAAAATTTTTTTTAGATGCTCCTCTAACATTACTAATATGTCAGACACAAGACATTTTTCCGTATCATTCTTGGCCTGTCCAATCTCGGGGGGTTTTCTCACGGTCCTCCCTCTGGTTTCCTCCCACTGTTAAAGACCCCGATGTGCAAGCGAATTATCGAAATAAAATTAAAGCATATGTTAGTCCCAAAATGACTTGGTTTGTGTCAATGGACATTAAGCTCTCTCTCTCTCTCTCTCTCTCTCTCTCTCTCTCTCTCTATTATTATTGGCAAGTCTATAAAAGGGAGAGACACTAAAGGTGACCCATCTCTCTTTCTCTCTCTCTTTCTCTCTCTCTCTCTCTCTCTCTTTCATTGTTGGCAAGTCTATAAAAGGGAGAAACACTAAAGCTTATTTTTTTGACTACTATATCACCTTAGGTGGAAGTGGACTAGAACCTTAGGAACAAACGAACAAAGCTTATTTTTAATATTATTTGTTGTTTTATCATTTAACTCCGGTGGGCTGTAGATCATTATACATGAAGGATTCTGACTGTACAAATATTATTTCTGTTTAGGTTTTATGGTGGGAAGGGATGCAGAAGCAGGTGGAATTGCTAAAAATGGTGCAAAAATGGTGACAGCCGTGTCTTGTGCTAAAGTTCCAAAATTTACTGTGATAATAGGAGGATCATATGGTGCTGGTAATTATGGCATGTGTGGTCGAGCTTACAGGTAGGTCGATAGTGATAATAGGAGGATCATATAGTGCTGGTAATTACGGAATGTGTGGTCGAGCTTACAGGTAGGTCAATAGTGATAATAGGATGATCATATAGTGCTGGTAATTACAGGTATGTGTGGTCGAGCTTACAGGTAAGTCGATAGTGATAATAGGACAATCATTTGGGACTGGTAATTACGGAATGTGTGGCCAAGCTTACAGGTAGGATGGTGATAATAGGACGATCATATGGTGCTGGTAATTACAGGTATGTGTGGTCGAGCTTACAGGTACGACTATAGGGGATTATAAGAAATTAACTGGGGATTTAGAGTTCTACTTTTCTGCACAAACATGGCTATTGAAGACGGGCATATGCCATACAGTGGACTATTAGGGAAATTTTGCCCGCACAGGTACACATGGTGTGCCAGCTTTATCTGTATGCTTGGCAGGTGGAATGCCATAGGGCCTCAAGATTTGGAGGGGCTGTGGCCAATGTGCATATTAAGGCTTTCGTACACACACTGTGTTTAAAACATACGTTCATGTTCCGCTAGTCGTGAGGGGGGGGGGGGATTGGAAGGGACCTCTTAAGTGGAATAGTCTATATCTATAACTATAGTCTGTTTATTATTTCAGTCCAAGGTTTTTATATATATATGGCCTAACTCTAGAATATCTATAACTATAGTCTGTTTATTATTTCAGTCCGAGGTTTTTATACATGTGGCCTAACTCTAGAATATCTGTGATGGGAGGTGAACAAGCAGCTAATGTCCTAGCTCAGATAACAAGTGAACAAAGAAAACGAGAAGGAAAGATGGTGAGAACTTAGTTAAACTAACTCCGAAACCGGAAGCGGTAGTCCCAGGGTTCTTAATCCATTTTTAAATGAATCGGCCACGGTTAGGCCCAACAGATAGTCGTCTTTTCAACAACAAACATGTTAGTTTATGCATACTCTATTCACGACAGTAATTGCATAATTCACTAATAGCATAATGTATTTGGGATAATAATAGCTAAAACTCCGTATAAACAAGACCTTTGTAATTGCATACTTGTATTCATACTCGCTATAATATCGACATTTATAGTCATATTATTATTTCAGCGACTTGGATTGCATATTCCTACTTTTGGTTTCATCCAACTAAACGGAAGTTATAAATTAGTAAAAACTACAAGTAGTTACAAATGTTTTTTTTAATTATTTTATTCGTAAGCTCATGTTAATATATATAATAACAAAGTATATAAATAACAAAGTAGCACAAATCGGTTTCCGTGTATAGTCGGAACTCGGAAATATGCTGTACGGGTGAAAGGTCACGTGGCCAATTGTCGTGATTCCGGTTAGTTATTTTTAGCGTTACCCGTATACAATTGTCGGGATTTAATGCAGCAGGACTAGTTTGGATATCTGAGAGGATCTCTTCCTCAATTTCACTGGATATTAAAGAAATAAATTCACCACAACAATTAAAATCACGATATAGTTTTTTTGTCATTTCATGTCCCTGCTGTTCTGTCAAATCGTTCAATTATTGTTCATAATTTTCGATGGCAATGTTTCTTTTTGCTATGAAATACGCATTTCGGATTAACGCCCGGTTTGAAACAATTTCTATAGATTTGGGAATAAAACTCTTTGTTCTGTCATCATCTTTCTTTGCTGCGCAGGTATGATCGTCAGATTAATACGGTCTTTTATTGCCGATAATTTGGTTGACCTATATTGGACGTGGGAGGATCTCCGGCTTTTGAAGTTCAAGGTCAACGCCGCCATCACTGTCTTCAGTTAAATCTTGTTTACGTTTCCTGGTGTCATTCTGCGAGGTGTTCAAGTACTTGGCATGATTACCTCAATTAAGTTGTTTATTTATGAAATAAGCCGAAGGTATTCATTGTAATGATTGACTCATTGATGGGTTTCTTAATCGACGAGTAATAATTAACTCTTTGTAATCGGCCGAAAGTAGATTGATTTATGATACCATAGTGGCCGGTTCATTGTTTTACCAATAGGCCTGATAATTAATTCTTTGTAAATCGGCCGAAAGTAGATTGATTTGTGATACCTTAGTGGCCGGTTCATTATTTTACCAATCAGCTAGATTAAAGATCAATCGGCTAAAGTTGACAAAAAACAGCCGATTAAGATCCCTGGGTAGTCCAACGCCACCTACCCCATGTTTTTCCCCGGTCCGAGCTACCCCTAATGTCAGCGCTAGTGTCGCAGCCAATCCTGAACAGACAGACAAACAAAGAGACAGACAAATGTCAATCACGAATATTGGTATAGATCTCCACTAATATGAGGGCCAGCTCGATTCTCTTTGGGAATGCTAGATTGTCAGTCCAGAGCATCCTGAATTGCAAACAAGTGACGAGTAATTTAGTTCTCTCACAGTTCTATCAGTTCCGACAACTGAGGTGGTGTGAATAGAATTGTGACGTAATTAAACACAACATTTATGTTTCATCTGTCATGATTGATGTAAGATATTTTCTTTTTATTCAGTTGGTTTGTAGTCGGAAACCCCCTTTTCTCATATATGTTCCAATTGTCATGGTTAGTTCAGACATTTTCTTATGCAGTCAGCTCATGCCTTCTATCTCGAAAGGGATTTGGATGGCTGAATGGTTACCACGTGCGTGCTGTATCATAAAGTCTGTCATTGAGTCAACTGGCGTGGTTTGGAATCCCCGGTTGTAGGTGACAAGGAGTAGGGTCCGATAGCCTGTCCAACCTCGTGGGTTTTCTCCGGGCCCTCCGGTTTCCTCCCACTGCTAAAGACCCCTACGCGCAAGCGAATTATGGAAATAAAATTAAACCCCATTTCACTCTCTCTCTCTCTAAATCCCCCCATTTCACATAATTAATACTATTTCTGGTGTTTAGAGAATTCAATTCCGGAAGGTTCAATTAAGTATCCCGAAAGCCTTTCGATCCTGGACGTTTGAAAGAGAATTGAAACAGCACACTCAAATCTGAACCCAAAATATTCAAAATCTTCTAAATACCTGCACTTGTTGGGGCAGCAATCTGATTAAAACCCAGATCTATATTTCGTTTCGTTTTTTTATACTTTCTATGGCCTCCACTACATGAAGATCTGACCAGTTGTAGTGGAAGGTCGCGTCGCGTCAGATGTCATACAAGCGACTTTTGACCCTACGACAGCATCCAGAACGCGGGTTATATAACAACTCTTCAAGATCGTAGTGTAGTAAAGACAAGTAAAACGAAATTTTGAACTATATAAAACGAAACGAAATAGGATCTGTGTTTTAATCAGAAATGTTTATTTGTGACATGAATGTTTTTATACGCCCACATTTTCATGTGGACGTATATTGTCGTCGCCCTTGTCCGTCCGTCCACAATTGTTTGTGGACACTCTACAGGGCACAATTCTTATCTGATTTTGACGAAACTTGAAATAATGGTTTATCTCCAAACGATCTCGGCTGCTTTCGATATTGGCATGTATCAGATCGAACCTTCATGGATTATGGCCCCTGTTTGTATGAAAAGTCACGTTTTTATTAAAATATTTCAGTGGACGGAAGCGGAAGAACAAGCTCTTAAAGACCCAGTTATAAAGAAATATGAAATAGAAGGCAACCCTTATTATGCTAGTGCCAGGTAAGTTACTTCCACCTTGATTTAGACAGGACAATTCACAATACCCTACCTGAAATAAAAAACATGACATATGAATTTAATTTGTAAAGTTTTCATGCATTATTAAAAATGCGGAGGAAGACGACAAAAGCTCTCGTACAATGTGTCCGATGTAGCTGGCGGCTAGTAACTGGAGGACATCTAAACTGGGATCTCAGCGATGCACAAGGGGTTCAGGAAAGCGTAGAAATAAGTAGGTTGTTAGCCCCTCAAACCAGTGAAGATAGATGAAATTCAACTTTTAAACCTACTAGGAGTTCATCTATCTTCACTGGTTTGAGGGGCTACCATCCTACATTATTAAAAATGACGGATAGGGAAAATTTTGATGTGGAGACCCTGATATACATCATCTGGTTTGATGTAGAGGAGGTTATTTCTATATTGAAAATTCATCTATCTGCATTTTGGGTTTAGGCTTGCGCAGTGGGCTATGAGGGAAATTTTGCCAGGACAGGGCCACTAAGGACTTCTCTTAATTAACGTATGTGCGTTGAATCAGAAGGGTTGCCATTGAGTCAAGTGGCGTGGTTTCAACTCCCCGCTTGTATGTGACAAGGAGAAGGATTGACCTGCCCAGCCTCAGGGGTTTTCTCCGGGTCCTCCAGTTTCCTCCCACTGCTAAAGACCCCCTATGTGCAAGTCAATTACTGAAATAAAACTGAACCATATGTTCTTCCCAAAATGACCTTGTTTGTGACGAGTGGATGTTAAACCCCACCCCATCTCTCTCTCATTCTAGACTTGTCGGCAAATGACTCTTTGTCAAGACTCTTAACATTTGGAATTTGAAATACGAGTAGGCCGTAGTGCTGCTGCCCAAGCAGAATTTCCCTTATAGCACACTGTATGGTGTATACCCATCTTCATTAGCCCAGTTAGAGAAGAAAGGAGGATTTTAAACCTCATTTTATTTCAATTCATTTTGTTATCCTCTATAATATTCTCGATAAAAACGTCTGACAAAGAAAGTAAAATATATTTATAATTTCAGATTGTGGGATGATGGTGTGATAGATCCAGCTGATACTAGAACCGTTCTAGGATTGAGTCTTAGTGCCTCCGTAAATAAACCACCGGAAAAAACTAGATTTGGTGTATTTAGAATGTAGACTTTTAGTAAATATCAAAAACTAAGACACAAGGGATTGAGATTAATTTTATACCAAAAACTGATGTGTGTACCTCCATAACTTATTGTTGTTATATTTAGAAATGATAAAGGGAGGTTACTCTCTGTGTATGGAATTATGAATGTATTATAGACAATTGGGGATGCTGGATTGTCAGTCTGGAATGTCGCGAAATGACATGACAGAATTACGATCAAGTGATGGGGAATTCAATCCTGTCACAGTTCCGTCAGTTCCAAAATTTGAGGTGGTGTGAGAAGAATTAAACACAACGAATTTGATTGGTTCAAATATTTTCTTATGCGGTTGGTGCATGCCTTGTAACCCAAAATCCTCTCTGATTGACACTATTTTGGGGATTGAGAGAATTCAGTTCTGGAATGTTCAATCAAGTATCCCTGTTGTGTTTATATTTAGAAGTGATAAAGGGAGATTACTCTGAGTGAATTGATTTAAAAGTATTATAAACAAATGTCTTTTGGGCATATGGTATACTTCTGATCCAGTGATTGTTGATTCACTAAAATTTAGTACATTTAAAAAAAAGGAAAGAAAATGAGTAACTAATCCATGCATTTAAAATTTTATTTTATTTTATTCGATGTATGAGTGAATGGTTAGCCTGAATCTCTGCCTGATATTGTCTGTGACAGGTGCATTTTTTCCAGGCTTTCGAGTTTTCAGGGAATAAATCAGAAATTAATTTTAACAAAAATGAAATCTGATTAAAATACATATCTTATAAATATTTTTCTTTATTTTTATTCTGAAATGATGAGGGGGGTTGTATGGCCGAATGGTTAGCACACGCTCGCTGTATCATGAGGCCTGTCATTGAGTCAACTGGCGTGGTTTTGAATCCTGGTTGTACGTGACAAGGAGTAGGGTTGCCTGTCTAACCTCGTGGGTTTTCTCCGGGCTCTCCGGTTTCCTCCCACTGCTAATAAAGACCCCTACATGCAAGCGAATTATTGAAATAAAATTGAACCATATATTAGTCCCGAAATGACCTAGTTTGTGCCAGTGGATGTTAATCTCTCTCTCTCTCTCTCTCTCTCATATGAGGTATAAAACCCACAGAATAACTTGATTATGGAATATGAAAGAAATGATACACCTAAAGGGTTATTATGACTTTCAACAAGATAATAAGTTATAGTTTATATTATACAAAACAAACCAGACTAACTTAATTATAAAATATGTGATCCAATTATCAAATAACTCACTTATTTGAAGTAGGGCATTTTACACCAGTGCCAGCTGAATTCAGTATAGATTGGCATAGAATTTTAAAATGTCTTTTTCTTAGGGAAAGGTTTGCACATTTGTATCAGCTTTTTTTATGCAGTCTATTTTGAAATCTCCACTATATCTGTATAAATTAGTTCATATGTAAAATGTAGAATTATATTTAATTTTCTCAGAATGACAGATGACCAAGTGGTCTAATGGAAACCGTTTAGATCATAAAATACTACATTGCGTAAAATGGCGTGGTAAGGGCAGATCCGTAACTAGGGAGGATGGGGCAAAGTCCCCCTGCAAAAAGTTTCCCCCCCCCCCCTGTGAAAAGATTGAGGACCATAAAAACAATAGATATACATTGTCCGTCAATTTTACAACACCCCTGAGAACTCTTCCCACCCCCCCCCCTCGAGTCGTTGCTCTGAGCTAGTTACGGCCCTTTGTAAGGGCTGATATTGACCTCGTGCTTCAGTTTCTTATCTCTGGCCCTGGCAATAGCAAATGGTCTAATGGAAGCACTTTAGATCACATAACCTTGTGGTAAGATCGCATACATGACCTTGTTGGCGTTAGCCGCGTGATTAGGTTTAAAACCTCTGGCCCTAGCAATAGTAAATTATTGAAATGTAATATATTTTTGTTCCGAAATGACATAGTTGTGTTGTGTGAAATTTTAATCCCATTGAATTATGCATCTCTCTCTCTCTCTCTCTCTCTCTCTCTCTCTCTCTCTCAGGGGGGGGGGGGTGTTGGATGGCTGAATGGTTAGCGTGCGCGCGCTGTATCATAAAGTCTGTCATTGAGTCGACTGTCGTGGTTTCGAATCCCCGGTTGTACGTGTCAAGGAGTAGGGTCGCCTGTCCAACTTCGTGGGTTTTCTCCGGATCCTCCGGTTTCCTCCCACTGCTAAAGACCCCCTACGCGCAAACGAATTATGTAAATAAAATTGAAGCATATGTTAGTCCCGAAATGACCTAGTTTGTGTCGAGTGGAAGTTAAACCTCTCTCTCTCTCTCTCTCTCTCTCTCTCCTAGAAGAATGCTATGTCACTGAAACTGTAATCCTGATGACTACAGCAGATTGTGTTAAATGTTATTTTATAAAAAAGAATAACAATATAATATGTATAATTGATGTAAATACATCAAAATATAATAAATCAAATGAAATAGCCGGAAACAAATCATAGTCGTTGAGTCATTAATTTCATGAAACAAAAACATGGGCAGAAAAGATTTAAATACGGCCACACATCAGCTTATCCGAAAGAACAACTCCAAGAAATCTGATCTCTATGTGTTCTGCATTGGCCGCGAAGGTTCCTCGGGGTTTTCCAACGTGGTTTCCTCTTGTCAGTGGTGCAGTATGGAGGGCCTGACAAGGACAGCTAGCTGTCTAGTCGTTCGGACGATACAAAAAACATGACCCTGTGTATACATTAGAATGCACGTAAAAGGTCCCTTGGCAGTTGGAATTCGAAATAAGAGTAGGCCACAGTGCCGCCACCCGGGAAACATTTCGCTCATTGCACACTGTATGGCGTATGCCCGTTTTCATTACCCTAAACCTAACCTACAATCACGTGCCCTAACCCTATTTACATCTTAGTGATCTTGACGAAATTGAGTTGGCCTTAACAAATAGATCTAGCTGTATATTCACAACAATGCTTTGGAAACGAGAAATCTTGTATACATTTAGGGGGGTTGGATGGCCGAATGGTTAGCACGCGTGCGCTGTATCATACGGTCTGCCATTGAGTCAACTGTCGGGGTTTCGATTCCCGGTTGTACGTGACAAAGAGTAGGGTCGCCTGTCCAACCTCGTGGGTTTTCTCCGGGTCCTCCGGTTTCCTCCCACTGCTAAAGAGCCCTACGCGCAAGCGAATTATTGAAATAAAATAGAACCATGTATTATAGTCCCCAAATGACCTAGTTTGTGTCGAGTGGACGTTAAATGCCATTTCTCTATCTCTCTCTGTATACATTTATCAGCGTTCATTATAATAATATGCATTATTGAATCATTTTGAACTAGTTTTAATGTGATGGATATATAACTGATCACGAAATAATGGTGATTAAAGTGGATATCTCTTATTAGATGTTTTTAAGTATTTCATATATTCCCCCTCAATGACCATGCTATGCCAATCGCAATCATATGGAAACAGAATACTACGCTACAATATAGAATATTGCCCTGCAAGATTACTATGAATATTTCAAGAAAAAACCTGATTGGTCAATTCTTTATTTACGACCAATCACACCCCAGTAATTAATATCAGTATCAGAGCGGAATGCACTATGTAAGCGTGTCATGGTACCCGCCATTAAACCACGTGACTAAGGGGAAACAAGTTTGCGTGGAATTTTATCTGAAGGGTATACTCCAATCTGATTAATATACAGATCTATATTTCGTTTCGACTTTTTATATTTTCGATGGTCTTCACTACATGAAGATCTGACAAGTTGTACTACAAGGTCGCGTCAGGGGTCGTGCAAGCGACTGCTGACCCTATGACATCAGGCATTGATTAATCAATCAGCGTTGACGTTTCTAGTGGTTTACCCACAGTTCCGTGCATGGCACGCCAGGAAGTCGCCGTAACAGATAGTTTCATTGGCTAATCCACCACGCCATTCAGAACGCCTGTTATATAACGACTCTTCCAGATCCTAGTGTAGTACAGACAAGTAAAACAATCTTCGGCTGTACAGAGTTTTTAATATGTCTTTTATAAGGTTAATCTAATTTGAATAGCCCAGAGGGTATACATTTAAAACAAAATGAAATGAAATGAGTTTAACGTCCTATTGTTCTATTCCGAACTGGGCTAATGAAGACGGGCATACGCCATACATTGTGCTTTGAGGCACTACAGCCTACTCTTATATCGAATTCCATCTGTCAAGGGATCTTTTACGCACACGTCAATGTGTACACTGGACCTCGGTTTTTCGTCCCATCCGAACGACTAGACAGCTGTATTTGTCAGGCCTTCCGTCCTGCATCACTGACAAGGGGGAACCACGCCGGAAAATCTGGATGAACCTTGTCGGCCAATGCAGGGATGGAACACCCGACCTCCAGGCTAGCGAGCCAGCGTCTTACCCACTTAGCCATCGTGACCCCCCCCCCCCACCACATTTGAAACAGCAATCAACATAGAATCCATACTGGCGAATTTTTCCATGTGGATATTTATTTTAAAATATATCTACTAATATCTACAAAATGAGCACACGGTGGCGACACCAAACGGCGTAATAATGATGGTTGCTGGGTAGAAGTATTAGAATTCTAAATTTGTTCGATGTTCATGCTTAACATAAAGCGACAATGAAGTAGACATTTTCCGTCTTGATAATAGAAATAAGATGAAACATAATTAAAATTTACACTTAAAAAAAAAAATAAAAATAAAAATAAAGAAGTTGGATTATACATTGTCTTAATTTTGAATTTACACGAATAGAAGTTAGAAATTAGACGATATGTTAGAATTTTGAATCTAATATACCGCCATAGTTTAACACCATATCTTCCCACTCGAATTAACAATAAATAGTTCATTGGATAAAACGGAAACATTTTTATTCCTGTAAAAAAATATACCAATTAATTTATAGAAGATAAGCCATATGGAAATTTGCAACACGTTTTAAAACAATATCTTTCTAGTCCATTTACTTTCCGATAACGTTTTTATTCCTGTAAAATAATATACCAATATCCCAATTAATTTACACAAGATAAGCTCTACCATATAATACGGAAATTTGCAACACGTTTTAAAACTATATCTTTCTAGTCCATTTTATTTCCGATAACGTTTGTATTTCCGTAAAATAATATATCAATTAATCTGTTTAAGATAAGGTCTACCAAGTAATACGGAAAATAATAATATACCAATATACCAATTAATTCACATAAAATAAGCTCTACGACTAAAATTTGAAACACGTTTTAACACTGTATCTTTCTACGTGATTTAACAATAAATTGTTCGTTGGATAAAATGGAAACATAAATAATATACGGGATACGGTAGAATAATATACGAATTATCATTTTATACGGCGTATTTTTACTGATAATTGTACGGTGGCTGAATTAGGAAATGCAAAAAAAAAATAATAAAAAAAAAATAATATCGAGATATTAAGTCGAGCGCTTGAGATACTAAGTCGAGAGCTCGAGATAGTTAAGTCGATTGCTCGATATAATTTAACCGAACACGTCTCAATCGATGTTTTAAGCTGTATAATTTTGTGCATAATTTGATGATAAACTTGTAGAATAAAGATATTCATTTGCTCGTTTTTACAGCCCATCTAATGCTGCAGTGACGGAGCGGATACGCCCCCCCCCCACACACTCCACCCCATGCTCATCACCACCACTAAATATTTCCCGTTATATTTACACCCATCCAAGGGGGGGGGGGGTATATCGCATGTTATTATACGAATCAATAATTGTATACATAGAGGTTACAGATTTCTGCTAGGAGAGACTGACATTTCCTCTTATCTAGAAGCTCATGCCTGATCCAAGGTTTTTTATTTCATATGTAGGAACTGGCCATTGCCTAATTTACTCTGGCGAAAAGTAAAGTGGCGCGATCGTGTCTGGCTTCTACATTCCCCCCCCCCCCCCGAGCACCGTCGTTTCGATTCCCCGGTCGTACGTGACAAGGAGTAGGGTCGCCTGTCCGACCTTGTGGGTCCTCCGTTTCCTTCCACTGCGATGCGACTTAATGAACCCCTAATATTAACTTTTTTCCTCGGACAAATTAAAACATATTTTTTTTATGTAATACAAAAATAAATAAATACTTTTTAAGTATTTGTCGGTAAAAATAATTTCCCATTTAGTGTAAATGGGTATTAAAATGAGTAAAAGGTACCATTCTGCTTTGGCCAGTAACGTCTTATGTAAACAATGCACGCGCCATTGAGCCAATGATTGACGCCGCGTGATGTGACGTCACGTGTTAAGGCAGTCATCTTTTACAGAGAGAGAGAGAGGGAGAGAGAGAGAGAGAAATGGGGTTTAACGTCCACTTGACACAAACTAGGTCATTTCGGGACTAACATATGGTGCAATTTTATTTCGCTTGCGCGTAGGGTCTTTAGCAGTGAGGAAACCGGAGGACCCGGAGAAAACCCACGAGGTTGGACAGGCGACCCTACTCCTTGTCACGTACAACCGGGGATTCGAAACCATGCCAGTTGACTCAATGACAGGCTTTATGATACTGTCATAATCCTTTGTGAAACAGATTGATACTATATAATCTCGACACTGTATACATGGATTAAAGTAGCTAAGTCTCTTAACTCAGTATTATCCAAAGTCTTCGACATTGAAAACAGGAATTATTTCTCAATTTAAATCAACATTGATATTGTGACCTTGCCGGGAAAAGATGGGCTTCTGATATCCAATATTTAAGACAAAATAAACATTTTGACATTGGTACACGAATCGTGTAAATGCGTTTCAGAGCCATTTGTAACAATGGACTCGAAGAACGAGCCTAGACATATTCCACAAGTCATGCCAAATGCGCAATAAATACTAACGATGTAGAATGGAATAACCAGACGCTAGAGATTGCCATTCGATTGAGACTTCTGACGTATTTCGCCGAACATATCTGATTTGAAATTAGAGTAAAAACGGAAACGATTGAATATAAACCAGTTTATATACATTCATATTACATTATTATATGCGTTGCGACCCATTTGTGTCAATTTCTAGGACCTAAATATTTCCGATTTAGCTCCTTTAAAGTGAATTTTCTTTTACATACTCTATACTTTCGACTATATGGAAATGAAATGAAATGGGGTTTTACGTCCTACTGTTCTGCTCCTGACCGGGATAATGAAGACGGACATACGTCATACAGTGTGCTATGAGGGGAATTTTGCCCGGACAGCGGCAATACGGCTTACTCTTATATCGAATTCCAATTGCCAAGGGATATTTTAAGTGCACGCCAATGTGTACACGGGACCTCAGTTTTTCGTCCAATCCGAACGACTAAACAGCTGTCCTTATCATGCCCCCGCCCTGCATCACTGACAAGGGGGAACCACGCCGAATGAACTTTTCTCGACCAAAGCAGGGATCGAACACCCGACCTCCAGGCTAGCGAGC